CGGCAGAACACTGCGGACAAAGAATGAGAAAGGCAAACTTTACTGAGTGAATCACCAGGCAAAACTAACATTCCTGCCCACCGATTACAGTATCCGGTGAGTGGCTACTGGGTGAATGCAGCTGCCAGGCATCCGAAAATGCCCACCACTCCCTGGTGTGACCTCAAGCTGTTTTCTTTTTCTTATCTACCTCTATAGTTTCCCACTCCCAGATAATGTTAACCCCTTCTAAGTTCCACTTTAAAAGCAGAGCTCCTGGTTTGACAATTATCAAAGTACGTAGCTCCTGTTGCAAATGGGGAGTATTATCCTTTAGCATGTTCCCAAGATGGGAGAATTTTGGGAAGAAATCCAAATGTTTGGGACCCTTGCCAGAGATGAGCTCTCCCAAAACCCACAAGGATCTCGTTGCAAAGAGGGTGTTTGAGATACCTGGGAATCCTTTGACAGTTCATCTTTGGACAGCTGTCAAAGGGTTCCAAGGAGGGAATTAATTCACCTGCAGTCTCAGGTGGGCATCGCATGGGGTGGATACCTGCTGGAATATACAGTACTAGCAGCTCTCCCATAAACAGTGTCTACCTGTGCATCTCTGGCATTCTAGATTTCTGACATGGTGGCCAGGATAGCTGTTTAAGTACAGGCTGGTTTTCTGTTAGACTCTCAAACAAAGGCCTGGTGTATTTTTGTATTGGCATGTGTATTTTTAGTGGCATTTCGCCACTAAGTGCCTGCCAGGAGAAAAACATTACTGCAAAACAGCTAAACTGTTGTCCTCTGATGCCAAAAGTCTTGTGGGATATATAGCGAAGGAAACGTGGAATCTGTAGTAGAGCTGTTCATATGAGTTTGTGGAGACAGAGTTTGGGAAGGAGGCTGACTTGTAAACTGGCTGGTTTCAGTAAACACCACAAGCCACGGTGGTTTTTTCTGTTTGTTGGTCTGTTTTGTTGTCTGGACTCAGTTGTGGTAGTTTAGCATGGTAAGTTTGGTATTTAGAAACCACAATAAGAAACAATGGTCTGTTATATGTTTACTCCAAACCACCATTGCTTGTTGTGTTATCTGAACCCAGGATCATGGTTTCCACAGTTCTGGTAGGCAATTACCACAGAGTCCCCTGGAAAGAAAAGGAAGCAGAGGGGCCATCTAGTCCCTCTGTGCAAACCACTGAGGAAAAGGCAGGAAACATGGATAGGGAGCGATGCATCCCGGGATTGAATTTCAGGCACAGTGGCTGATGAATATGTGCCAACAGTGGGAGGACTGAGTGCGGAAGATGGAAACCATGATAACATAGCAACATCTCTTGGACAGGCCACGGTGAAAAATGTCAAACTATGGTAACCATGCAGGGTTGCTTGATGTGTTGTGCGAACCAGCCATTGTCTAAGCCAGCCTCCCCCAGATGTCTTCCATTTTATCTCCTGCCAGCCCTATCCAGCCACAGCTAGTGATTATGGGAGTTGTAGTCCCATGGCATTTGGGGAAAAGCTGATCTCACCAACAATTTAGCTGAGGGCTGCAGAACGGGAATGGGCAGGCCAGCTGCAGTCCAGATGTTGTTAATGGGCACGGCCCTGCCCACCAATCTAACCTCACCCGCTTGGCATTTCTCTGTACTGGGAGTTCTATGGGACTCGGCCAGTGTTAGGAGCATTTGCTGGTCAAATCTCTTGCTTTGATGTCATCCCTGTGGGCAAGTGGCAGAGAACTTCCGCTATGGGCAGTGTAGAAATGTAATCAATAATTACAATAAATAATGTGTCCGGTGAAGGTGCTTGCTTGATGCTCACAAGAGCAGCTGAGTCCCCCACCATCTGCCTTAGGTCAGATTTGGGAATGCTGTGGGGGATCAGTTCTGCACCCCTGGTTTAGATGAACATCTGAACTGGTCTAGAGATGAGCAGGGCTGAGCCCTTCTGGGGGTCTCCTACCCTCTGCAGGAACACCAATTCTCTTAGCTCCTCTTTGTACTTGCCATCTGTTCATTTCCCTCTTCTGAATTTGGGAGCAACAGGCTACCCCTCCCCACTCAGAGACTTTGGATAGCCTGAAGGAGCCGCAAATGTTTGCTTGTAGAGAGGGGTGTGCGGGGGGGGGGGGGGGGGGGCGAGAATGCCCTTCTAAGCTCAGACATTCAGGTAAACCAACACCGAAAAACCAAGAACAGGCTCTGCAGGTTGGATGTCTGGAGAAATGAGCCCTGAGATGTGGCATCTGAGCCCCCCCACAGCAAATGAACTAGGACAGCCCCCCCACCCTCAAACTAAGAATGCTGGAAGTTTCATTCAGCACATCTGAGGCTAGAGGAATTCCACGCCAGCTAGCATTGGGGAAATTCAGATAAATTCTGGTAGGAAAAGGTTGCTTATATGTGCCTTTGTGTTATAAAATCAAACCCGCGCCTCTTTCTCAGAAAGCAGCAGAATCCCAAGCCAGGTTAGAGTTGCTGTTCCTTTAAGAAGATGGAATTCTTAGCTGGACTGAGAAGCTGCTGTGCTGGCTTTCCCATCAGCTGCAAACAGCAGAGATAAAGGTGTCCATTTGTTTCTGAATGGATCCATTTAATCATCTAGTTCCACAGAGGCAAGCGCCAGTTCAGTGTAGTTGTCAAACCAGTTTTCCTGAAAGGTTCCTCAATCAGACACAGTTGCATGTTGAAGCAGACAACAGGCCAATCTAAATTATCAGGAATTACTGAACTGACACATCAATAAAGCTCAATCAATAATATTTCCCATTTATTTATTTATTTAAAACATTTCTATGCCACCCCCATCGCAACAAAGCCTCGGGGCGGCTCACAAAGAATACATAAAAACATACATAAATAATAATAATATAACAATTAAAAAAAACATTTAAAACCCCCCGGTGCATTCTCGGCTAAAAGTTTTAAAATCCTAATTAATTCAATAATTTAACAATTAAAATAAGTTTTAAATAAAAAGGTCTTAGCCTGGCGCAGAAAAACAAATAACGACTGCGCCAGGCGGACCTCTCTGGGGAGCGCATTCCACAGCTGGGGCGCCACCGCAGAGAAGGCCCTCCTCCGGGTACTCACCCTCCTAATATCTTTCTCAGAGGGTTCCCGGAGAAGGGCCTCTGCCGCCGAACTCAGGGGGCGGGAGGGCATATATGGGAGCAAGCGTTCCTTTAGATATCCAGGTCCCAAGCCCAGACTATTGCTACCCATGTTTCTGATTGGTTTAAAACTTTATGTCATGCTTGAAGACAAGATGCTTTTGTAATAATAGTACCAGGAAATTCAATAGTTTGTCCAGCATACGTGACTTGTAGGTTATAAAACTCTCTGTATTCTGGCTGTGAATTTGTAGCTGAGTTTCACCTCTACCTGGAAGCTCACTGTCGTTCGTTACTGAAGGAACTGGGGCAGCAGTCAATAAAGCCACAGAGGTTCAAATGTTTATATCTTCCCCATGAATCCTAGTGTTCATTCCTTGCAAATTGAAAACTGGGATTCTGTCACTAGGAACATCCGAAGACTCCGATACCCATTTGCACCAGGGGCCTATCTGGCTGAGAATGGACTAAGCTAATGAGCTGTGGTTTTGCAGGGCAGGGGTCTTTAGCGGTCTGCCTGGATATGCCAGGAACTGAATGCAGGAACTTCTTAGGGGGGTCACTTACAATTTGCCAAGACAGGTTCAAATGTTTATATCTTCCCCATGAATCCTAGTGTTCATTCCTTGCAAATTGAAAACTGGGATTCTGTCACTAGGAACATCCGAAGACTCCGATACCCATTTGCACCAGGGGCCTATCTGGCTGAGAATGGACTAAGCTAATGAGCTGTGGTTTTGCAGGGCAGGGGTCTTTAGCGGTCTGCCTGGATATGCCAGGAACTGAATGCAGGAACTTCTTAGGGGGGTCACTTACAATTTGCCAAGACAGAGGAAATGCATCAGCTACACAAACAAGCAAACTTGAAACAAATGCCGAGAGGGAGAAAGAAGACAAAAGAAGATCCTGATTTGCATAAGATTTACAGGTGCACATTCAGAGTGTGTGTGTGTGTGTGTGTGTTGCTGCAATTCTCAAAATATTTATTAGTATTTCCACGCCAACACAGTACAGAGTGTCAGGTGTCTTTCTGCCTAGTTCGTTGTCCTTCGCCATTCTTATGCTTTGCTTTGTAATCTAACCTTGAAATGGAGAACACCTTCAAGCACAGGATATATTCCTCTCTCCGCCCTTCAATCAGAGACTGTTTTCTGTCAAACTGGCCACTCTAGTTTTGCAAACAGGAACCAGACCCTGGCTCTCCAGTGGGCAAACTCTTCCCCCAGAATTTGGCAGCCTGTGATGAGTTTTTCGATGAGGCCTTGAAATTTTCCACATTGGTGGCTTCAAAACAGTTTTAGACGCCTGGCGTGTTTAAATACTTTTCCGTACATGGTTTTTATGATGTATGTTAGGGGTTTCATCTCAGTGAAACACACTGAGAGCTTTGCTATTTGGCCGGTATAGAAACCTGAGGAATGAAAGGAAAGCACATACTGTGCCTTTAAAAGACTAGGGCGAAGCTGCGAGCCAGCATAAGCCACGCAGGAATCAGGGTGTAACCGGTTCGGCAAACGGCCATCACCAAACAGGAGCGTTTCGGGCTGTGCTAACCTGTGAGCTGGAGGGAGGGCTTTACCTGTGCGGACATTAGTCACGAGTTATGGGGCTACCGCCCACTGGCGTGGGGAGGAATACCGAAGATCCTGGATGGGCGCCTCTCCTCCCACGGGCCTGGCTTTCTCGCCGCAAGGGAGAGCGTTGCCAGAAGAAGAGGACGGGCGAACACCGCCTCTCCCGGGCAGGACACCTGCCGCCCGGATCTGAGCCTTCGGGCATGGCTCTGGCTGCAGAGGGGCAGCAAGCGGGTGGCGCTGCGTGAGCCGCTCGCTGGACGGCAGAAAGGAGACAGCATCGCCCACCATCCCGCAGACCCTCTTGCAGGGCTGAAGCGGCGGGCAGAGGGCGGTGCGATGAGCGTTTCGCCGGAGCCCAAGGCCCTCGGGAAGCAGGTCCAGAGCATCCTGCAAACGGTAAGCTGGAGGCTACGGGCGCTGCCTTTTCGGGGCCGCCTCCAGCAGGTGGGGGAGAAAGGAGCCCCGGGGGGTGGGGGGGGTATGGGTTCTCCGTGCAGAGGGTCTCCGGTTGATTCGTGGCATCTGTGGCTGGAAGCGCCAGGGGGCGAAGGATGCCCATAGACCCCGCTTCGCCCTGCGCCCCGGAGGACCGGCTGCCAGTCCAAGGAGACACGGGCCAAGGGTTCAGCTCGGCGGTTTGGGGAGCGTGAGCTCTGTTCCTGAGAATTGTTCCTGAGAGCCAGTGTGGTGTAGTGGTTAAGAGCGTGTGTCTGGGACTCAGACGGTCCGGGTTCGAGTCCCCACTCAGCCATGGAGCCAACTGGGTGACTCTGGGCCAGTCACAGACTCTCAGCCCAGCCTACCTCACAGGGTTGTTGTGGGGATCAGATGGAGGAGGAGAGATGATGTAAGCCGCCTTTGTAGGAAAAAGGCAGGATATAAATCAATCAATCAATAAAAAATAAAATAAATAAAAAATTGCTCGTGTTGGGAGAGTCGGGAGCCTGTCCGAGGCTCCCTGGACTTACCTGCCGCATCCAGAAGACCTGTGGGCACCCTGAAATGTGCACGGATCCAGTGTGGGCACACTGAAGTGTGCCTGGCGGCCGGTGGGTGCCATTTGAGGCCCCAGGACCGGTTTCTGAGCAGCTCTGGGGAGCGTGTGCGAGACATTCCAGTCGTGGGTGGAGTCCAGCACAAAAGGGACGGCGCCAAAATAGCTCCCTATTTTCGCTGCGGCTGCTGCTTCCTCTTCCTCTTCCATATTTTATTTTATTTTATTTTTACATTAGATATCATTATATATTTCCTTTCTATACCAGGACATAGCCGAAGCTCTAGGGTTATTTACGACAGCTTAAAAGTAACTGCTGGGGACTAACCCTTAGGGAAGGCTTTTCATACTTTTGGAATCGGGGATGGGCAATGTCATGAAAGACGTCCTGGGACAATTGGATTGTGTAGGACGGGGTAAAAATATTCCAAATAAATAAATAAAATCAGATGGGAAACCAACATATGGCTGGGGAAAGGGGGGGGACCCAGTGGCTGGATCTGGACTACCTGCCTGAGGTTTGACACACCTGCTCTGAGAAATGGAGAGCCTGAGAGCCTTTGCGCACGCTTAAACGTAGTCTCCATGTGCACAAGGCGCTCGTGGGTGTGCAAGGTGGAGATGGAAACCAGCAATTTATTTATTTAAAATATTTATATGCTGTCCTGATTCGCAAAAAGCCTCAGGACGGCTTACAACATAATCACATTCCCGAGTCTCATCACCACCGGGGAAGATGGATGCATTCTATTCCCAGATGAATACCTGACATGCATTGCAGAGCTCAGTGTAGGAGTCCTGAGCACTCGTTGGCAAGACAAAGCATGCGCATTCAGATCACTCCCTCCGCATTTAGAAGGTCTCCTCTGCTTCCGCCCTGAGCCGGGCTGTATTAACTTTAGGTGACAGAATGGTTTGCCATGTGGCTTTCTGCTGACACAGTTGGGCCAGTTCACACACGAAACAGCAAACTATGGTTTAGTCATTTCTGCTTGGGTGCAATCAGACCAACCATGGTTTGGCTGAAAGCACAAGTGAACAAACCACAGTTTACTGTGAAGTATGCCCTATTGTTCTCCTATCTACACTATAAACTGGTTAAGCCAGCATTTCTTCCAACTATACTTTTGTGAGGGGTGAGCGCAAAAAAGAATTCTGCACATTATTGTTGCTAATTCCCAAGGCTCTGAGTAAGAAGGAGCTAGAAATTTGGATTTGCTCCTGAACTTTGTTCCTGAGTGTACCTTGCCTTTGAGTGAGGCAAGGACACTTTGGCTATTCCAAAAATCCAGACTTTTGCCAGGCGGCCCTCTCTGGGGAGGGCATTCCATAGTCAATATATTCCTTCTCACCAGCTAAGGTCGTCTTGGGTCCATCTTCTGAAGTTTGCTTTGCAAGATTCATGGCAGCTACCCAAAGGACATTCTCAGTGGTGGCCCCAACCATGGCATGGCCTGCTGAGAAAGAAGTCCCTGACATCCAAGTTTGTTATCTTCAAGGGGGAGTTACAGACGTACCTTTCCCAGCAGGCCTTCCCAGATTACTCCTATTTAATATGCTTGTTCTTGATCTAGATTGAAATTGTTGGTTTAAAATGGTTGCCATCCACCCAGGGCTTATGGAAATGTGGGGGTATATGAAAATCAAAATTAATAAATAAATAATAATAAATAAATGAGATGGAATAGGATGGGTTGTATGCTGGTATTCTGCCTCTCTCTCTCCCCCCTCTGTTATAAAACCCAGTAAATTAAATAAATGGCAGTTTGCTGCACAAAAAACTCTGCAGCCAGAGACGCAAGTAATGGGTGGCATACAAATTTTATAAATAAAATAAAATAAAATAAAATAAAATAAAATAAAATAAAATATTTCAGTTCATCTCAGGACAGAACCACACTGCTCTCTTATGTTTAAGGCTAAGATGCATCATGTGTGACCTTTCCCTCCACGCTGTCTTTGTCCTTAGCAGCCTCAGGTCATACAGCTGAATGTCGGAGGGGAGATATTTACAACTACACTGAGCACCTTGAAGAAACACCCAGCCTCCAAACTGGCTGAGATGCTTGTTGGTGGCCAGTCAAAGTTCCAGATGGACTCTGAGGGGCGCTACTTCATCGACCGGCCTGGGACGTATTTTGCGTACATCTTGGAATTTCTGCGCAGTGCCCAGGTGCCCAGGCAGTGTGTCCAGGAAGTGTACAAGGAAGCCCTCTTTTATGAAATCAAGCCATTGATCAAACAGCTAGAAGATTCCCCTCAGATTTTTGGGGAGGTGGTGGCCCGGAAGCAGTTCCTAGCCCGGGTGCCCAACTACCCCGAGAACCTCGAGCTGATGATCCGCATCGCCCGGGCAGAAGCAGTGGCCTCCCGCCAGTCCAGCGTCATGGTGTGCGTCATGAAGACAGAGGAGGATGTCAGCAAATGCTACGACACCCTCAACAGTTTGGACACGCTGAAGAAGTCGGTGGTCAGCTTTGGCCCCTGGAAGGCCTCGCCGAGCATTTGGGACCTCTTGGACTGCATCCAGATGGATGTGGAGGCCAAGGGTTACAAGGTCTCCTACAAACCCTACGGGCCAGAGAAGGGCTTCCGCTTCAAATCCAGCGAAGCCTTCTTCACATTTTCCTTCACATGGTGGTAGTCTAAGAGGCGCTGAGCCGGGTAAGACCAAGCGTCCATTCAGCCCAGCGCTCTGTGCACACAGCTGCCCCCCAAATGCCCTCACGGGAAACCACAAGCCCCCCCAAGTGCCACCGCAGCCTCTTGCCCATGTTCCCCGGCAACGGGGATACAGACGCATGCTCCCTCTGCTCCTGGACCTTAAAATAAGTATCTTTCCTGGCCATCCACCAAAGCAACATTCCCTTCTTCCCGACGGTGCCGCTTGGCTCAGGGTCGCAAGCGGTTTGCTCTGCCAGTGCCATTTGTAGAGGGAAGCAGTGTAGAGCGGTTCCCAGGGACTGGCCTCTGGGAATCTGGACGGAGGCTCTGACCTGGTCCAAAGGCTATTCTGGGGCGCAGAGCCGATCAGCATCCGGCTCCCCCACTCTGAATGGTGGTGTCAGTGGGAGGGGGAAGGCCAGCCTGCCTAAGAGTGCACGGTGTGAAAGCAGGTTTCTGGGCTGCATACAACCAGGGCAGGGGCCTAGAGTAAGCACAGTCGGGCATGTGCCAAGGGCCCACACTCCAGCAGGGGCCCACAGACAAAGCCCCCCAGAGTTTCTGTTTTTCTTCCCCATTGCAACTGGCTTATTCAGCTGCCCCACACACTTGTCTAGGCCATGACCTGTGTGCTCCTCGGCTCTCTGCCTGTCCAGCGAGCAAGAAGGAGCTACAATGAGAGGGTGGTGCGGAGCGATTGCAGTCAGTACCAACGGCTGCGAGAAGGGGGCCCACTGAGGAAGTCTTCTCAAGGGCCCTCCAGAAACGGGGGCCAGCTCTTCAGAGGGGAGAGCCCATGGTGGAAACACATCACTGGGGCTTTCCAAACATGATGTTGGGGTTGCTGAGCGATGCAGACCCAAGGCTGCATTTGCATCTCTGGGCTAAATAAAGCAGTACCATTGCAATCTTGTGCAAACTCACTATTATTTACGTTTATTATTCTATCATATTTATGTCCTGCCTTTCTCCCATTGTGGAACTCAAAGGAGCCACGTGCAGTTCTCAGTGGTCTCCCCTCCAAGCTCAGGCCAGCCCGGGACATGCTAAGCTTATGCCTCACGTGCCTTCAGACCACACTCTGGGTCACGTGTGGTGCTCCAGATGTTGTTGGACAACAACTCCCGCTTTCCTTGCAATTGGCTTTGCCGGCTAGGGCTGATGGAGTGTCCGGAGGAGAAGCCAAGATATGTTTTCCTTGAAAACTTTTAAGGACTTCCTTTTTCAAATATCTCAAAGATAAGGAACCGTGGCTTTCCAAAAATGTGTTTGGTATTATAAGACACATATAATAATGTGTCTGCTGGGGACTCAAGATTCCCCTTTCTTCCTTTGGTTGTTTCTGGAGCACTCGGAGGACCAGAACTTGTCAACTCCTGTACATGAGAATATGTCCCACTGAACTGCATTGGTCATATTCTAACTTGCCTAGGTTTGCACTCTGAGAATATCTGATTTGGAACTGGAGTTGAAAAAGCCACTTCAACCTTGTGGATTTACTCTCAGCCAAAACATGGGCGTAAAAATAGACCGCCAGTGAGTGGATCTGAACCTCTTGTTGCAGTGACTCAATGACTGGGTAACAAGTACTTTGCTTAGATTCTACCATCTGTCTGTTTTATTACAACCCCAAGTTCGACATTTTTAAGGAAGAAAATAATCTCTGATTTCCCCCTCTCGACATTGAGAATGATTTTATATATTTCTGTCCTATATCCTTCAGTCGACTTTTTTCTAACATAAGCAAGATTACCTACATTTTGCATTTGAGGAACCATTCTCAAGTTCTTCTGTTAAAAATTCCTGGGTCCTGATTCTTCCAGTCCAGGTCATCCACAAATTTCTCACTTACTTTTTTTGGTGATCTGGTGCATTCCAGATATGTTAGGGGATTTCAGGAGCTGTTCAACATATTTGGTGGAGCTCCAGTTAGGCAAGGCTGGCTATAGGATATTACAACACCTCGACTTTTATTTTTTACAAATAAAGTGGCATAATAAATAAATAAATAAATAAATAAATACTTCCACTGAATCAGCCCCTCCTTAAACGGTAATCTATCACCTGTGTGTTTCCTGAGAAGTAAAGCCAATGATTCAATGGTTTGCTCCCAAGCATTTAATAAGTTGCAGGCATTAAAACATACTTTAGATACTCACAACTCCCTGGAGATTTAATATCCTTGTTCTCAAAGGATATTAGAAGAAATCTCCTTCCCTGGCTTAGCGGTTGCTTGCTTTTAAACTCTGTCTTCCCTGTTCTATTAGGCATGTGAATCACCTTCAATTGGTCCATTGGTTTCTGATCTATAAAGGCAGAACTATGACAGAATCAGGCAAGTCAAAGGAAGGGCTATGGCATATGAGCTTTCAGGGGTAGAACTTGGCAGAATCTAGTGTTTACCATGTATGAAACTGGCTGTACTGGTTAACAAACAGCATACAGTTATATTGTGTATAATCATTGCCTTGCAGGAGGAAGAAGGGCAGAATACAAGTTGCAAGGTAGTAACAATAAAGTAATAATTGGATCAGAGACCAGTAAAACTCTGTTTTGTGATATGCTGAAGGGTAGCAATTGGAACTTCTTCTTTTCCAGAACTTCTTTTCATTTCCATATTTCAGCTCAAAGGTAGTAATAAATAAATAAGCACAAGTCATGGTGCTTTTTAAAACCATTGTTGGTCTTCTGTGTTGCCTGAACCTACTTGTGATATTCCACCCTGCTAGGTTAGAAACCATAAGAAGAAAGAATGGTTTGTCCTGTGGTTACTCCAAACCACCACACTTCATACAGCATATGTCCTATGTGGAAAATCACTTTGCAGTTGCTCTAATAAAAGTTTTAAGTTTTATACTTTAGAATATAGAAAACTGCCTGTTTCCCTTCTTCCTTCCCTCCATTCTGCAGTTTTTTCATTCAGGTCCCTTCTGTGAAAAAAGGAGCCCCACATCTGATATTCAGTGATTGGCAAATCGCTTTCAAATGCAGAGCACAGCTGGCAGGTGATGATACAGTGCAACTAGTTTGATTATTCAAATACTGTCATTGTCTTCCTGCAATCTCCTACCTCTGACTGTAAAAAGCAAACACTGAAACTTGTTAAATTCTGGATCTCCTGATTGTTTTATTTTGATACATCATGTTTTCCTGATGTCTGTAATGGTTTCTCAATATTTCTGTATTTTCCTTTTTGTGCTTCGATTGTTCTTGCATATCACTCATTCAAAGTCTCATCCCCTTCCCTGCAAAAAAGCATATGGGACTGCTACTCCATAAAACACTCTGTACATATCCTGTTTCCTCATAGCAGTCTGAACTGGTATCCATCAGCACTGTTGTAATTTAGGGATGCCTATTGCTGTAAATAAAACTGTTCAGTGCTTGATTGTATGCTTCCACTGAATCTGTGTATTCATTCCAAGCAGGTCTGACATTCTGACAGTAGAACAAAATATCCATGAATAAATAGAACTTGAAGTGGAGGTCTTTGTCCTGGATCTCCCCTGCTGATTTTAAACATTGTTAATTAACTGTTAGAGCTATGAAAAGGCAACGTTTTAAAAATATAATGCAGAGTCCTCTAAAAGAAGATCTCTGCTAATACAGGTGGTCACTGTAATAGATTTACAGAGGTGCATCCTGTGCAAGTTTAGACGGGGGGGTGGGGAAGCCTACAACTCCCAGCATGCCTCACAGCTGGCTCGATAAGCAGGCATCCTCGATAAGCCGAGCTGGTTCTACCTAGCCATAGATATGAGAATTGTACAATTGCTAGGCAGGATTCTCTCGCTCGCTTCCTTCCTTCCTTCCTTCCTTATTTATTTGCTGTAATCTCTATAGCCTTTTTGCCCATAAGAGGCTACGGTCTCCAATGCCTTGAGACTTCCGAATCCCCATCTCAACCCTTCAAATCCTCCATGTGCGGGGCAAGAATATGGAAATAAATAGGAAGCTTAGTAACCTCACGTATTGTTCCTGAAACAACCAGGCAGCAGTATAAATTCTTTGCAACACTTTCGAATAAGCATGTCCTCTACCTAAAAGCCGGGGGAAAAAAGAACGTTGGGTAAGGACTTCTTGTTCTTAGCAGCACTCGCGTCTTTTTACCCCTAGAGTTGGAGCTGCCAAAGCAGCGTCGCCGAAGTTTCTGATTCAGCCTGGTTGACTTGCCTGTTTGCACCAAGAGTGCATTTCCTCAGCAATGGTCCCGCTAATGGCGGATCCTAAGCTATGCTAATGGAAGCCTGAAGTCAGCACTGTGTGGACTCCGAAGGAGGCGGCGGGAAATCTCTTTGGTGCGTCTTTGAGAAGAGGAGGCTACGGTGGCCGAGAGGACTCAACCGACCCTGAAAAGCGAAGCGCAGGCGGTTCGGCGTTCCGTCCAACATGGCGGCGCACCTGAAGAAGCGCGTCTATGAGGAGTTCAGCAAAGTCGTGGTCCAGGTAACCGGGGAGGCTGAAGGAGGCTCCAAGAGCGCGGGGGACAGAAGCGATGCGGCGAGAGAGGACGGGAGCCTGCCGGGCTGGAAGGGGCAGGCGCTGGAGCGGGAGCGAAGGGGACCGAAGCGGGCCCAGGGCTGTCAGTGCCTCCCCACCCCCGTCTCTCTAGCGAGTATTTTATACTCTGCCCCCTTTCCCTGCCAAGGACCGAAGGCGCTTATCGAACCCGCCTTCTCCCTTTCATCCTCACAACAGTCCTGTGAGGGAGGCCAGGATGAGGGCCGTAACTGGCCCTAAAGTCATCCAGGCTAGAGCCCGGATCTCCCAAGCCTCAGACTCTCCTTCCTAATTGCGCTGCCCTGGTAACAGACCATCTCATTTACACGAGCGCCAGAAAACAATGGCAGTAGGGAAAGAGCTGTGCTGAATCGGACCAAGAGTCGCATCTTGTCCCGATTTCAGTTCACACAGTGCCTGCAGGAAACCTGCAATAGCACATGAGTGCGACTGCACCCTCTTGCCCACATCCCCCCGCAGCTGGTGTACCAGGCACGCTGCCTTTGATACTGCAGGGAGTATGTAGCTCTCAGGACCAGTAGCCATGAATGGCTTTCCCTTCCCTTTTTAAAGCCTTCCGGATTGGTATCCTGGACTTCTGAAGTCTTATCTTTATATCCTGACTGTCCCTTAAGCAGTTTACACGCACCATCTCCTTCACAGGGTTGTTGTAAGAATAAGCAGTTTATTCTTATAACAATCCTGTGAAGTAAGTTACATGGAGAGTCAGTGACTGTCCCAAAGTTATTCAGTAAGTGGTTAGAACCTCTGTATCCTGGGTTTCAGTCCAGGGCTCTAACCACTCTGCCACGCTACCTCTCACACTGGTGTTGAAACCTTCAAAGAGATGGACCCAAACTTAAACTGAATTTCTATCAGAAGAGCCAGGGTGTATCAGACCCAGGATGCAGCTTGTCCAGCATTCTGTTCCCATCTCTCCAGCCTGAGTCAAGTTCTTTTCTGTTTTGACAATCAGAGCCCACCTCTGCTTTGTACTTAGTTTTTTTGATACAATGTTTCCCTTGGATTCAGCAGTTTGCCCTGTAGGAGATTAATGTTTTGTGGGAGTGCCTGTTGATGCGAAAGGATTGGAGACCCCTGTTATTCCAACCATGTAAAAAAGTGCGAGAGTTACTGGCCTGAAATTATTGTTTATTTTTAATAGGGTATGTTTGGGTATGTTGTTATACCAGCTGTGGAGGAGATGGAACCTGCTTCCTTGTGGCGAGTGTGGAACCCAGGTCATTAAACTCTTAGCAGGCTACTATTCATTTATGACATTTGTCTAGTGCTCCATAACTCATAGGGCCCTCTAGGTAGTTTACAGAATACAGTAAGAATAAAACACCCCAAGAATAAAATAAATTAATACCAAATATGCAACAATTGAGAGCTCCAGGTGATTAAAATTAGTTCATGGCATAAAACAGCGTGAGTAAAACAATATTAAAATCCATCTATATATTAAAATATCTGGTGAATAAAAAGGTCTTTATTTGGCACCTAGAAGAGAACAAAGTCTGTGTCGGGAGCACCTCTTTGGGGAGCATCTTCCGCAAATGGGGTGTAACCACAAAGAAGGCCCTTCTCCTGACTGTCAGTCCCTTACTTCTTTAGCAGGTGGTTCTTGGAGAAGAACCTCCCTAGACGATCTTAAGGACTGGGTAGGAACTTATGGGCAAGGCGTTCATTCAGATACCCGGCCCCCAAGCCATTTGGGACATTTCATTTTAGTGTCAGCACTTTGCACTGGGCTCAGACAGCAATGGGTAGCCAGTGCAGCTGGTAGAGGGCTGGAGCAGTACGGTCTCATGGACCAGCCCTCGTTAAGAGCTGTGCAGCCTTGTTCTGAACCAACTGAAGGACCCGGATCATTTTCAGAGGCAGTCCCAGGTAGAGTGTGGTGCAGTAACCCAAGCATGACGTTACCGGGGCATGGAGAACTGTGGCAAAGCTCTGTCTATCCAGATGGGGACCTTGTTGAAAAACCGTGGCTGATAGAAGCTGCTCCTGGCCACCGTCTCCACCTGTGACCTGAGGGACAAGTCTGGTTCAGGAGTACCCCAAACTACGCACCTTGTCCTTTAGTGGGGGTGCAGCCCCATCCAGGACAGGTTGAAAACTTCCCAACTGGACAGACAGTCTACCTACTATAAAAGTCTCTTCCCCCAAGTGACTTAGAAACAAGGGATGTTTCTGAGGGACAAGCTTCCCTTGTTCTATGGCCAACATGGAAACCAGACAGACAGATGGAGAGGTCCACCCCTGCCTCACCCACCTCCTCGCTTGCTCGTCCAGAAGTCCTTGTTGCTTATGGGAGCAGACAAGTTCTTACATTTTATTTATTTTTATTTATTTATTAAAACATTTTTATGCCGCCCCATTCGCCAAAGCCTCGGGGCGGCTTACAACAATAAATTAAAAATAATTATAATATTTAATTGCAAAAAATATAAACATTAAATTAAAAATACAAAAATACAATATAAAATAAGCCACCCTGGCCAGATAAAATCCAGTAATATTAACAGTTAAAATGCCGCTTAAATAAAAAGGTCTTCGCCTGGCGCCGAAAAACAAATAATGACGGCGCCAGGCGGACCTCTCTGGGGAGCGCATTCCATAACTTTTTCCTATGTAAACTCTCCTTCCCGTGTTAACCTTCCGCATATCATATCCACACATGTTGGAGTTCAACAATAACTGTGGGGAGCTGCACATGCAAAGGTTCTCCCCCCCTGCTTTAGGATTTGATGTTGTGATTTTTAAAAACCTTTCTTCTGAGTGCTGCCTTGAGGCTCCAGCCTGTTTACTGGAAAACATCACCGGTTTTTCACATTGTCCCCAGCATTTGGGCTGACCCTTGCCTGCTTATAATATTATATGCTACACTCTGGTAGGAAAACAGCATGAGTCAGTAATAGTGGTAAGAAGCTTATTCCTGAATCAACTGGTGGGAAGGAACCTGCTGCTGCTGCTCCCCTCTCTTTGTGAGCATGCAGTCTGATGCTGTGTTCACGTTTCAGCAACAGCAGCACGAAGACATTTCCGCGAAGAAACTCCGGCTGACCAAGCCAAGCAAGTCAGCAGCGCTTCATGTGGATCTGTGTAAGGCTACCTCCCCAGCAGATGCTTTGCAGTACCTGCTCCAGTTTGCCAGGAAGCCGGTGGAAGCAGAGAGTGTGGAAGGAGTGGTCCGAATCCTGCTGGAGCATTATTACAAGGTTGGATGACCACAGTCCCGTGCAAAATCTTTGCAAGGCATATAGGCACCGCCTGACAGGTGGCAGGAGTAACTGTCAGTCAGGTGCATGAGGGCCCTTTTGCCTGTAGAGCAACCAACTGTTGCTTGCCTGAGTTTTAATGACATGTTTAATGCAGCATTTAAAAGCAGCTTTTTCATATTTTAGTTGCTTAGATATTTATATTTTCTTTTTAAATTATTTTAAGGTATTATTGCTGCTTTTAAAGCTTTCTTTTAAAATGCTTTCATGTGTTGTTTCATTGGTTTTGTCGCATCAGGTTTTTGTTATGCATGTTGCCCTGAAAACGTCAGTTATAGAACGACTCATAAATTGCATAAATGAATAAAAATTGGAATAAGGGAATAAGAAAATGGCTAATATGTACCAGCTTGCGCCCCAGCCTGTTTAGCTGAGAAGTGCCTTACTGCATTGTTTGGCCACAGTTCTCCAAGGCTGAAGATACGAATTCTTGCTAGAGATAAGATCAGTGGGTTAAGATGATTGAAAGGCTGAAGCAACTCCCCTGTGGGGAAAGTTTACAACATCTGGGATTGTTTAGCTTAAAAAATAAAAGGTGGGTCAGAGCTGTCTTGATAGAGGTGTACAAAACCATCCATGGTGTGGAGAAAGTTGATGGGGAGAGTTTTTTCTCCCTCTCTCAACCCTGGAATGCAGTGGGGTCTTCCCATGGAGCTGGCGGTTGGGAGCTTCAGAAGAGATAAAAGGAGGACATCTTAAATGGGGGAGAGTTGAATTATGGAATTTACCACCACAAAATGTAGGGATGGCCATCACTTTGGATGGCTTTAACTGGCGAACGGGCAAATTCATAGAAGAAAAGGCTATCAAATGGCTACTAGTCCCGCTGGCTCTATACTGCCTCCAGTATCAGGGGCAGATTCTGGGGAACACGGGTGGGAGAGTGCTGTTGTACAAACCCCGTTCGTCGCGTGTTTTGTCAAGCAAGCCAAGCATCACCTGGTGTGGAGAGAGGCTGGGAGGGAAGAAGGAAGGAGATACTCTTCTAAGCCCCACCTTTTGTCGCCGTAGGAGAACGATCCTTCCGTCAGACTGAAGGTCGCTTCCCTGTTGGGTCTGCTGTCAAAGACTCCAGGATTTTCTCCTGACTGCATTCTGGATGATGTCATTAACACCCTCCAAAATGAAAGTATGTGAGGAATCGGAGGCAAGGGGATGGTTAAGGTCCTTCCAGCTTTTATGAGGGTGTGGGGGAGAGAGGTTGGTCTTACATGAATGCATGAGTTGGTTGATTGATCTGGCTTAACCCCGTATTGCCCGGGCTCTGCTCTGACTAGTGGCAGGCAGAGTCCTGCCACAGTGGTACCATCAGGGCAGGACCTTAGGGCAGAGGTCCGGGCACCCCTTTGCAGGATGGGCTCCTGCATGCAGCATGGCTAGCTTGCCAGCGTTGGACGTAAGCAAAAGAATACCCATGATCATCTAAAGAGCCTCTTCTCACCCCCATGTGTCTAAAATCCCCTAACTCTGCCACCGCATGTAAAACATGCCTATTGTTTTCCTATTAGCAAAGGAAAGCAGTTGTTCTTTTCTTGCCTTCCAGATTGCATTCAAGCTTATTTCCTTGCCAGATGTCTCATGAAAATCCTAGCGCCTGGCCCAGAATCTCTCTTTTCTCCTTCCAAATTAAGGAACACTCGCAAGGTTCGGTAGAGATAGGTCTGGCTTCACAGCCTGGTGTGAATTCTGCAAGTCAGCAGAATTCTCTTAAGCCTGAATTCTGCACGTTTCTTATTTATTTATGGGAATTTATTCATTTAAACCATTTCTATGCCGTCCTTTGCATAGCCTCAGGACGGCTCACAACAAAATAAATAACCATATAAAATACAATTAAAATTCAATATTAAGCATTAAAACATTCAATCATAACAATTATTCAAGATTAAAAGAAGGGAAGAAAAAGGAGAAGAAGAAGAGAAAGAATTACTGGATGGTTGTATTATGGTTGCTTCATCCTTGCTCTGCCTGTATTTCCAACCTATATTTCAACCACAGGACGTTTCCTTTTAAGGTCTCCGTATCTCCACTCAGAAAGATCTTAGATAGTTTGCAGCAGGGTTTCAGGGTACCTTCCCTGAATCCCTTGAAAGTTGTTGTATCAGGTGAGCTGGAGATGGGGCAGTGTAATGTACTGGTTAAGAGTGTTGGACTGGGAACTGGGAGACCAGGGCTCAGTCTCCTCTTGGTTTTGAGGCTCCCTGAATCACTGACTGTCATGCCATAAGCTGTGTCATGGGTTTGCTGTGAGGATTACGTGGTAAGGAGGAGGGTCCTGTATGCTGTCTTGAGCTCCTTAAAGAAAAGGTGGGATAGAATGGTAGGGAAAAAAATCTAAAATTAAGGCATGAAACTCTGGCCCATGGCCTTGTGTCCAAAGCCCTCTGCATGGGATCAGTGGAGAACTCCGGGAAGAGTTCTGTCCCTTCGCTGGCTGCCTGTGAAGGAGGAGAAGAGCAAAGGGAGCGGCTGGAAAAGGGGTGGTTTGCCCCACCCACCATTTGGCTCCACCCATGTGTGGCCTTGGGCAGACAGATGCACGCCCAGCCCTGGATTGGGGCTAGAGGGACCTGTGGCTTGATGCAATATAAGGGAAGCTCATGTGATTTTAGTGTCCTCACCCTAATTTGATGGTTTACCTATGCACAAGTTGAGGAAACCTGCACAGGAGTGCAGACGCAAGTACGCAGGAGGGCTGTGTTTGCCAAAAGCCGAGTCTGCTATGCTTTAGAAAGTGGTTGTGTGGGGGGGACTATGTCCTGGACGCGAACCTGCGGAAGGCACCACCAGGTTCCCTTTTACTCTTGCTTGCAGAGTCGCACCAAGTGCTCGCTCAGCTGCTGGATACGTTGCTGGCGATTGGGAAGAAGCTCCAGGAGATCACCCCAGTGAGACTGCGCCTGGTCGACGTAGCCTGCAAGGTAGTTGGGAGGGTTGCCCAAGGGAGGATGCTCGAGCGCGGGGGTCCTCGAACCTTTCCACCAGTTGAAGGCTGCCAGTGCTGGGCACGGGCTGGAAAGGTGGTGCTGGCGCTGTGCGCGGGCTGGTGCAGGGCCGGCACATGCGGGGCGTGCGGCAGGGTGAGGCGAGGCACGGGTGGGGGTGGGCACGTACTGCCAGGGGAGGTAAGGTGTGGGCAGGCGCGTGCACCCGGCAAGGAGAGGCGAGGTGGGGGCGGGCACGTGCTGCGAGGTGGGCGCACGAGGCAGCGGCCTGCTCGCTTGCAGGTAGTTTTCTCCGAGCAAGCAAACTGGTGCCGCCTCATGCGCAGGGTGAGGTAGACGGCAGCGGGTGCGTGCGTGGGCGTGGCGGGTCCAAATGGGCATGGCGGGCTGGGTCCGGCCCCTGGGCCGTAGTTTGAGGACCCCTGCTCTAGTGGATTGCCCCTCTGGCCCTTCGCCAGTTAAACAAAAATGCTTCTTGCTTTGAACCAGGTAGTTGCCTTTCAGCAGCCAATGCAAGAGCTCTGCTCGTCTGGGTGGGAGGATGCCCATCTGCTCACACAAAGGGGCCTGCAAGGGTGGTTCTTGGAGAGAAAAGTCGAGGGTTAGAGGAGCAGACAAAGGTGGGGGCCAGCGGTGGGTGAGGAGAGTGGGGATGGCGGTGTACACCCGACGTCGCCAGAGCGCTCCTCAGACTCCTCCGTGTGGTCTGATGGCAGACATCTGCCTCCTAGCGGGTCTGTGGTCTGTCCCCCTGAAGGAGAGACATTCCAAAGAGTGTCTTCTTTCCATTATGGCCTTCTCGGCCTCCTGCAGCAGTACGATTCAGCTAAACGTGTGCTGCATCTCGAAGCTGCCCTTTTCAGAGTCCGCTGATGACAGAATAGGAGGAAGAAAGCGCTGTGCTTTGCCTCTTTTTCGTCTTGGCTCCCTAGCACCTGACGGATTCCTCCCATGGGGTGAGAAACAAGTGCCTCCTGCTGCTCGGCTGCCTTGGCACTGTGGAAAAAAGTGTCCTGAAAGAAGCCGAAAGCCAGCCTCCCAAAGACGTCCAGAAGATAATCGGGGATCACTTCCGTGACCAGGATCCCCGGGTGAGGACTGCAGCGATCAAAGCGATGGTAGGTATGGATGGCACACGGCAGAGTCTCTGCTACACAAGAGTAGCACCGGGAAGGACTGTGCGGTCACTGAACTTGTGGGTGTTAGTTATCACCATTCTAATCCGCACAAATCGATCTCAAGCAACTAAAAATGAAAATGCCATTTTAAAGCCCATTACACACATATATACGGAGAATCATAGAATAGGAGAGTTGGAAGGGGCCAGACATTCAGCGGGGTTTATTTGCAGGAACATGGGCAATGCTTTTGTCAACGTAAGTGTATAATGCCTTCAGGTTGCAGAATTTGGTAGCTGGTGATGCCTTAACCTGTGCACCTTGGCTTGTTAATTTTATCAGTCAGGTCTCAGTATTGATATCCTGTATGGCTAAACTCCTGTTGGGATAATTTTCATAAAAATGGACCTACTTCTTGGTTTTTTCCTTTCTAAAATATATAAATTAGTATCTTTGTTGATCACTATATTATAATTTTGGTGAATTTGTCTTTTTCCTGTAGCTCCAGCTCCATGAAAGGGGATTAAAGTTGCAGCAAACCATTTATAGCCAGGTAATTGGGGTACAATATTTTTAACAAGGTCCCTATGAGGAAGGGTTAAGGTTAGGGTTGATGAATGTGATGCGTTTAAATTTTCCTCAGTGGTATCTGTCGCCAGAACATAGCATCTTTAATTTAAAAGAACAGAACTCAAGTCAATGCTATCACTCCACTGTGCTATTTATTAGTAATGCTTATACAACACTTTATATGATGAAATCCCTAAATAGTTCCAGTGGCTTAGATTGACATCCTTAGGTCATCATGACTTGTAAATATAAAGGAAATTCAGAGCTGCCCTGGAAGCGTCTGTCTTTCTGCCACTTCATCACAATGAAGACTTCTTTCTGTTCCCGCTTTGAGAGATCTTCCATGAGGCAGTTTATTAAAATCGACTTTAGCCCAGAAGTGGCTTTCTGGAAAGTGGGACACAGCGAGGAAGGTGCTTCTTTGGTGGAATACTACAGCCCCGACGATGTTACGATTTGGACTTGGAGGGCATCCTACTAATTTGGTATAAGAACACACGAAAAACCATACAGGATCAGGTGCTGGTCCACCTCATCCAGAGTTCCCTTGACGTGGTGACATCCTGTTGCCTGTGGGAAGCCCGCAACAGCACTGTCCTGCTCCTGTTTTCCAGCCATTGGTATGGAGAGGCATGCGGTCCCGGATCTGAAGTGATGCTTATCCATCATGACCAGTAGTCGGTGATAGCCTTATTCCCCCTGAATTTCTCTAACCCGACTTTACAGCCATCCAGATTGGTGGGCTTCTTATATTAGTGATTTTCCCAGTTTAGCTATGTGCTCTGTGAAGAAGGTATTTCCTTCTCTCTGTCCTGAACCTCCCACCACTTAGCTTCATGGAATGACCCCACTGATTTTTACTGATGTGAGAAGTGAACATAAATGTCTCCTTATCCACTTTCTTTACCCCATGCATAATGTTATTCCACTGCTGTTCAGCCCAGATCCATGTAGGATTGCTGCCAGAGGGCTGAGGGAAGCTGCATCTTCAGAAAATTGCTTCATCCACGGTACCTCTAGGTAGGATAGTAAATTTGCCTGCTGAATCCCAGAGAGTGCCCATCCGTGTTTCTCCGGCAGCAATTTCGCATGGATTTGGACTGCTTACCAAAGGAATAAAGAGCAGAGAGGAACCATTTCACACTGTGCTAACATTACCTCCATTTGCAGGACCCTGCTGAATGGGGTTTGCTTGGAAGGGGAAAAGGAAGAACCCCATAGACTGGGCGGAGGCACCCCCAAAGCTCTGGGTAGCGTTTTCAGTAGGCTTCAGAGAGGAGGTTTTTGGAGGTGTTACACTGGCTTGGTCTGAAGGGGTGAGAATTTCAGCAAGGATTCTGTTGTTTCCCTGTTTTGCATTTCCCGGTTCATCCAATGTGTAAACCGCACCCTTCATAGAAGAAGTGAAATGGCAGCATGAAGTGTAGATATTGAGGAAAGCGCCGAAGCGTGATCGTTTTCTGGGCACTTTTCCTTTCAGGCTTGTAAGCTCTTAACTGATGACTACGAACAGGTTCGCAGCGCTGCAGTTCAGCTCACGTGGGTCCTTAGTCAGCTTTATCCGGAAAGGTAAGATACTAGGTAGCCCCGAAGGAGGATGTGTTGGTGGGGAATGAATGACTCTGGGGGCTCTCAGCAGTCCTAAAAGGGCTCTGTGCAAGGGGGCATCAAGCGCCCGATCTCACCGTCTCGGCTTCCGGATGCACAGTCCACCCTAAGCTCTGGTTAGCATCATGATGTCACTGTGTGATGTATTTAAGGTGATGGTGACTTTTCTAAGGCACCGTGCCTAAGCTGTGTCAAGAAAGGGCTTTGATTTTTTGCCAGGCCTGCTGTCCTAATCCAGCCTGGGCATGCCTGACTGAATATGGAATCAAGGCACTTCTCAGCAATTACGTTTAAAATAAAGGCTTCACAATTAAAACCTCAGTGCATTTTAAAACAAGCTAAATGAAACAATTCCTAGGCTGGACAAGAGCAAAAGAAAATAAAACTTTGGTGGAATAAACATGGCTTAACTGCTGGCTTAGGAGACGTCAGAGAATCTAACTTTCCTTGTGAGAGAGTTTGGCGATTATAGTATCACTGGCGAAAAGGCCTATTCTGTGCTTTGGCCACTGCATCCTTCTTGGCAAGGGAACACAAAGCAGAGCCTCTGAAGATGAGCACATTTGACAGGCAGGTGTGTGCAGGCACGGTCCTTCAAAATAGGTGTGTCCCAGGTAACAGTGAGCAGCTTGAACTGGGAACAGAAATGAACTGGGAGCCAGTCTACATTAGATAACACCGGAGAGGTAGGGTCAGAAGAATGAACACCACTAATAAGTCTTGCCACTGCATTTTGAACCAGCTGCAAAATACTTTTTTACTGGTAAAGTCGTAATTTTTGCTGAATTGTTAATTCTCTGGTTAGCTGGGCTAGATTCTTAAGAATTAAAATATGAACAAAATAATGGCATTGTAGCTGTGAAGTTTATTAAAATGTATTGGAAAGCACAATCTGTCTGTTGGAAAAGATAAAAAGCAGATCAGCAGTGGTTTTCCATGTTGTGGGATCCTTGTACCCTGGGGTTTTTGGTTCTCTTGTCACATAGTGTACAGTGTCTGATATATAGTATACAGACGCTCATGAGACCTATTTTGGTATAGATGAGATATAAATGTTTTAAATAAATAATTGATAGAAACATAGAAACAGAGTGAGTCAGAAGGGGCCTCCCAGGCCATCTAGTTTAACCCCTGGCTCTAGCCAGCTCCGCTCATGACATGCCCACTATGTGCACGTCCAGCCTATCCTTGAACACCCGCACCAATGGGGCCTCAACCACCTCCCGTGGAAGCCCATTCCACACCCTCGGGGTCCTGACTGTCAGGAAGTGCTTCCTGGCATCTAAATGGAACCTGGGCTCCCTGAGCTTTGCTCCATTGGAGCGTGTCCTACCTTCTCCTGGAGGGGAGAACAGGTCTCCCCCTGTGGTGACGCCTGGGTTTTGCTCAGATAAGCTAAACTGGGCAGATGGGTGAGGTCTTTCTACTTTGGTTCTCTAATTTTGGAGGATATAATATCGAATCTTTCTCAGCCACTCGGGCCTGGCAGATAAGAACAATTCTTGATGGAATACACTGATGTTTTTTCCCTAGCATTGTCCCAATCCCTTCTTCCAATGAAGAAATCCGCCTTGTAGATGATGCATTTGGAAAGATTTGTCACATGGTCAGTGATGGTTCATGGGTGGTGAGAGTCCAGGCTGCTAAACTATTGGTAAGTTCCATTCTTCTTAGGCTGTTAGAGGAGGTGTCTTGGGTTCTTCCAGATGTGTTGGCCTACAGCTCCCATCGGCCCTCAGCATTGGCTATGCTGGATATGGCTGCTGGGAGTTGTAGGCCAAAACATCTTGCTTATTACATTGGTATTAGAGGACTGCCAGCTGTAATGTTACATTCCTATTCATATATGAAACACTGTGTTATCCTTTTGATTTATCCTTCACTTGCTTCCATTGTATATGGCTTGGAGTATTGGGTGGGAACAATTGGAACAAGAGGAAGAGCTGCCGTATTTGGGTCCTTAATGTGAAAAAGAACGTGTGTTTATTGGTTCATAATGATAACACCAGTTGTATATCCAGGAAATCCATTCAAGTCCTGCCAGTTGGAATTTCTCACTCTTTACATCTGCAGTGACCTTAAGACATACCCTAGTTGTGGTTCACAGTGCCCCTACCTAACCTACATTTGAAACCATTCGTAGCACGTGGCTTAATTAATTAATTAATTACATTTCTGTACCAACTCATAACTGAAGCTTTCTGGGCACGTCACAACAATTAAAGCACTTGAATCATCATTTTCTCTCAAGTTTCAGCATTGCCTACAGACTCCATTCTCCCCGCCCACCATGCCTCTATTAATAGTCTGCACCACAGGTAAATAGGATGTACCCTGGGGGGGGGGGAGAGGGCCTCTTCCTTCAGTCGCCCACCCCCCCAATCTGCACCACAGCCCTGCCACTCAGATGGAAACTTTCAAATTGGAAGAAGCAGCAAAAGTTGTGCATCACTCAGTCTTTTTCAGTGTCTTGGCTAAACATTTGTGTATATTGGCAGTGTGCTAATTGGCAGCAGGCACCACAAAACACTTCCCATTGATTTAGTGGCATTCTTTTCCAGTAATTTGAGGGAGATGCTGACCCAGATGGCTTCAATGAGAACCAGACAGATTTGCAGAGGAGGAGGAGAGAAGGGTGGCTAAATAGAATCTCCACACTTAAAGGCAGTCTACCTCGGAAAACCTGAAGTGGGGAGTGGGGAGGATGTTCTTTAATGCCCCCTTTCAAACTCCTTGGAAGGTCAGGCTGGTGACTGTGGAGTACTGTGTAGGGTGAAATAGACCAGAATTGGTAGAGCTAGGGCTGCAGAATTCAGCCCATGTGGGGTCCCACTCCTGCCCTCTGGGTTTCCCAGAGGCCCTGCCTTACTGCCATGGCTCAAGCGCTTTCTTCTGACTGCCAGTCATTCAGTATTTTCCCAGTTTTAGAAGGCTGAAATGGCACTTCTTGGTTACTGACAATATGAGCTTTAAGGTAAAAGAGGCTGGTATTTGGCCTTGCTCCCCTTTGCCCTCAGCCCCTCTTCCTCAGTCCCATTCCTCTTGGGAGATAATGAGGTAGGGGGAGTCCTGCTGTACTGGACCAGACAGCATCCTATGTCCCACGGTGACCGACCGACCATTCCCTGTGCCTGCCAGTTCCAAGCCCTCTTCCTGAAACCACCATCCAATCCAGATCCGTGTGTCTAGCAGGTTCTGCTGCTGGACAGGCAGCGCTTCAGAGAACGCTACCCTGGACCTCCTGGGTGTCCACTTCCTACCTGCATTCTAGCACTGCATGATTTCCTTCCACACCTGTACCATGGCTGTTGATTCCTTGCCACTTGAAGGCACCAGCTTACCTTGATGAAGCATGGGGTGCTCTGCCTTCACGCTCAGTAGAGCGGCTGCTTTACCTGTGCTGTGTTCGAAACCATTTTGTCCTTGACTTGTTTGTTCACCTCTCCCCACCTTTGTTCCAGGGATCTATGCAGCAAGTCAGTTCTCATTTCTTAGAGCAGACGCTGGACAAGAAGCTGATGTCAGACCTGAGGGTATGGAAACATGTTTTTGTTTTGTTTTTCTGTATGTGCTAACTATGGAAAGCTAGAATTTGCATAACAACTTTGTTCTGGCGGCCTTCTTCACTGTGTTCTCTTCCTGTGCCTACAGGAGGCTGAACACTGGCTTTCTGATAGCTGGAAGCCTGTGAAATGTGAACCGCAGCTGCTTTTGTTTAGCCTTTGTATATGTATGATAAATCACCCCAAGCCATTCCCATTTCATTGGAGAAGGATGCCGTGCTCAACAGCTTCGAGATGAGACTTTAAGCAAACGTTTTAGAGAATATGTGCAACTTTTTGGCAGCATGTCATTCAAATATGGATGCAGGAAAAAAGGGGAACGAAAAATAGTAACACCTCTGGTGTGCTCTCATTTCTGCTGCACATCTGCCTTATGCATTGGGCACGCACTGTGGCCGTTAATAATAACAAAAATGTGCATTTATAAGGGCACCGTCCACTAAGATCAACTGCCACTGAAGTTCAGAGATGTTACAGCAGAGGATGGCTGTGCTCTAGGGCAGAAGCGGGCACCTTGTGACCCTCCAGATGTTTTGACCTGTTTTGCCCTAGGGATGACAGGAGTTATAGCCCAAAACATCTGACAGATGACACCCAAAGGAAGGCTGCCCCCAACAGAAACATGGTTGTGTACATCAGAAGTGTGCACAACACTGCATGGTGGAGAGAAGGAGAATAGAAGATGTGTTTCTCCTTCTCCCATAATACTAGTACCCAGTGAGGTCACCCTATAAAGCTGAGATTCATGGCAGAGAGCAGGAAGCTCTTCTTCACACAGCGCATGGTTAAATGAGGGGATTCACTTAATTTAATTTTAATTTAATTTATTTATTCCAAACGCCTTTATAGTGACATACTCTTGTCCCGGGTGTGGGTTTCCTGTGTGCAGCTGGCTGGTCACTGCATAAATGGAGAGCTGGGTTTGATGGACCCCGAGTCCAACCAACGTGGGGTCTCTGCTGTGACTTTCCTCTTTGTTTTGGGTACAGCGCAAACGCACAGCCCACGAGCGAGCCAAAGAACTGTACAGCTCAGGGGAGTTCTCGAGTGGCCGGAAATGGGGAGATGATGCTCCCAAAGAAGAAGTCGACACCGGAGCAGTGAACTTGATCGAATCGGGGGCCTGCGGCGCTTTCGTCCATGGCCTGGAAGACGAGATGTACGGTGAGCAGAGACGGGCAGTAGCATCTCAGTTGTGCTCCAGTCCTGGCCCAAGCGATCTCATGTTTAGCGTAAAGCAGCTCCGGTGCAGTGCAGGAAGTGCTTGCTAGGACAGTGGAGCAAAGCAGCGAGTCCTCCTCCTCCGTTGCTGTTGCCCTTGCCGGTGCTGGTTATTTTATATTGAAGACAGCTCGAGCTGCCACCTGCTTCGAGCATTTCTGATTCAGTCCTCCACCTTGCATTTGACAGCTTGACTTGTTGGCAAAATTTCTAAAAATGTACATATCACCAAAGAAGGAAGAGCCTGGCAATTTTAATAGGGAGATGGTACTACAGCTTCCTGGAATGAGAAGGCAGTTCACTCCTTTCTCTTTCAATTCCTAGTCCGGAAGCTCAGCAGAATCAAAATCTCTTCAAACAAAAAACGGGTTGGGGAAAACTGGTATCAGTCAGTAGACAAATCATAGCACACAATGTAGCAGTGAATCAGTAGCTGATCAGGTCCCTGTGCATCACCTGTGAGTAGCGAGAGTGCAATTGACTGTATCAGCAAGCATGCATTGCACCTATCCTGTCCATAAGGTAGCTGTTGATCAAAGCTCCAGATTGCATTTTTGCTTCTGTGCCTCTTCAGAATAATAGCCCAGTTACTTTAATTTTATTTGCCCCTCTTGAATGGTAGCCAAGTTTGATCTTCCCAGTGCCCATGTTCTGAAATTTTTAAAAATTAGGTGGCAAAAATGCTGAAATGAAGTTAAATTTCAAGGCTGTGCTCTTCCATGGGAATAATTTCCCTAATGAAGTCAAAACCACATACAGTGGAGAGAGAAGAAACTGTAAGCCTGAAGGAAGAAATCTCAGACCCCTCCAGCGCCTGCCACTTTGAATGCTTTGGTATACCCTAATCAACAAGGGAAAGGGGGTCTTAATTGGAAGAGACCCTAACTCTTTTTTTCCATTTCTCTTTTCCCAGCAACAAGGAGGGACAACTCTGAACTGACTTTGCTCTGGATCAAACCACGCCAGGTTCTGAAACTGTCGTTCTTTTCTTTGTGTGTTTTTCAGAGGTTCGTATTGCTGCTGTTGAAGCCCTCTGCATGCTGGCCCAGTCCTCGCCCTCTTTTGCGGAGAAGTGTCTAGATTTTCTGGTCGACATGTTCAATGACGAGATTGAAGAAGTGAGGCTGCAGTCGATTCACACCATGAGGAAGATTTCCAACAATATCACTCTCCGAGAGGATCAACTGGACACCGTTCTGGGTGTCTTGGAGGCAGGTTCTTCACTGCTTTTCCTCCTGTTTTTCCCATTCATGATGGTCCAGATCCAGCCCTCTGGGGTGGCCCAGAAGGCCTACCCTTTCCCCCTTTTCCTCAGCCACCCATTTGTTCCCTGGTATTCCAGTTTTTCTGCAGTTCTTTCTCCAAAAGGTTGAAATGTCTCTTCTAAAGTTATCAGAAGCTTTAAGCTACAAATATACTGGCGTTTTTGTAGTGTGGCTTTGCCCCGTTTGCTTTTGTTCCTGCCCACCAGTCATCTGCTTCTGTTCTGGGTCTGTGACCAGTAAATAATAATGACCACCTTTGCCCAACAGCAGCTCGAGCTTTTGTGTCCTTTCAGGATTCTTCCCGAGATATACGGGAAGCCCTCCACGAACTGCTGTGTTGTACCAACGTCTCAACCAAAGAGGGCATCCACCTTGCCCTGGTGGAGCTCCTGAAAAACCTCACCAAGTATCCTACTGACAGAGATTCCATCTGGAAGTAAGTGTGGTTGGCTTTTGACCCCATAAGGGTCCTGATGGCTTAAACAGCCTTTCCCAGCCCGTTGCCTCCCAGGTGCTGGCTGGGGGATGCTGGGAATTGTGGTCCAGCACACCAGTAGGGTACCAGGTTTGGGACCCCTGGCCTTAGGTTTATGAAGTTTGTAAATGATCCAAAGCGTGAGACAGGAGATGTCTCCATTATCTCCCTATCTTGACGCCTGGAAGTTTCTACAAAGCTGGGGGGGGGGGTGTGGTTGTCCAGTATGTTGGAGGGGTTTACCAGGATCTGCTGGGAAAATGGACTCTGTGATGTCCTCCCTGTTTGGCACCTTCTTGAGATTTGGGATCAGAAATTCAATAAAAAGCCCATGCTTAAATCCCACTCAGGTCCCACACTTGGATTCATCTGTGTGGCCCTTTCACCACGTCTTGTCCCTTTGCGCTTGATGAACCTTTGCTTAACTGATTATATGCCAAGGCGTCTGCTAGTTGTGATCTACAACTACGCCAAGATCCTTCTCACTTGCTGTTGAGCCAAGAATCCCCCATTTTGTCACAGTGCATTTGGCTCCCTTTTCCTGGGTGAAGAACTTGGCATTTTTCCCTACTGAATTTCATTCTCTTGTTTTCGGCCCAGGGCTCCTACCTACCAAGAGTGCCTTGAATCGTCTTTACTTTTCCGTGGTATTAGCTGTCCCACCCAGTTTTGTGTCATCTGCAGATCCAATAGTCCTTCCTAGCACTTCTTCATCCAAATTGTTAATAAAAACTTCAAAGAGCACTGGGCCCATGACTGAGCCCAGTCACGGAATGGCCAACCTGGTGCCCATGGGCTCTCGCAAGCGGAATAGGAGTGCAACAGCACCTTTCCACCCAGGTTTCCAAGCAACTGGCACACCTGGGGTGGAATCCAACTGGTGCTGATGTGCCTGACGGTTCTTTCACACCCCACCTATTTGGTTGTGCAAATGGCTCCTGCTGCTTGCACAACAGTGGTCCAGTGCTTCTGGGGCTTCTTAATGCAAGTTCTGTGAGCTGCCATTTTCCAGAAATGTTTTGGGCTTCCCCTAAAAAGAGCGAGACACCCCCCCCCCCCCGCATACATGGTGGGCTCCATTCATGGGAGGGAAGTGGTGCAGTGGAAGGGAATTGCAAGCGGCATAAGAGCCCCAGTGGGTTCTGCCCACGAACATTTTCCAGGGTCATTCAGCTGTTTTGTCTTGACATTGTCCATGGTCGTTTTGCTTGGGCGATTATGAAAAGGGGCTCTGGAAGGGTTTTCATGCTCACCACTTTGCCTCTGTGTCTCGTAGGTGTTTAAAGTTCCTGGGAGACAGGCATCCTACGCTGGTGCTTCCACTTGTGCCGGAACTGCTGGGGACTCACCCCTTTTTTGACACCCCAGAACCTGACATGGATGACCCAGCTTGTATCCTCTGTCCTTCCTTCCCCTCCTCTGTATGTTCTGCATAATGTTCAGGTTGGATTTCGTGGCCACGGCAAACCCTGGTTAAGGACCCTGATTTGTAGAAAACCAGCATGGGGACCTTGGATTGAAAGGAGCTTGTGAATCATGGTTTATGCTGGTGCACTAGCTAAACTGATGAACCAGCTATAAAGCTGGTGCTCTAATTCTGGTGGCCGCACTGCTTGAAAACTAAAGAGGTAAGCAGACAGAAAGTAGAAGCAGACAAACAGCTCTAAGTCAAGCTTTGTCTGACACATGTCTGAAAAATCAAACAATGGTTCGAGTGCAAGGTTTGGGGACAGACTGGAAGCGACCCTCTACTGCAGGGGCGGGCAGCATGGAGCTAACGAGGAGTGGTTTCGTGCTAACATTCAGTGGCAAACTGCTTTGGAGACTGGAAAGTGGCGAAATTGACTTATTTTCAGGCTAAATGTGCTCTTTCTTGAGTATTATAGCAGTTCTGTTTTTTTTGGCCAGTCTGATGTCAGAGTCTCTGAAGCTGGAGATTGGTCTGGACTGCCCAGTCATCAACCCTTCCTCTGTAGGATGTGTGGTAGCATTATCTCAATATTCTGTAGCACAATTCCATCTTGTGCGATCTCTGATTTTTAAAATACTATTTAGCCTTTGCTTGGGACCTCTTGGGCAAAACATCTTTTCCGGTATTACTTTTACAAGTGGCTAACTGCCTATTTCAAACACTTTTTTTAGGTGCCTTCATTCTACTTTCTTCTATTGTCATGGTTGCTTCACCTCTATGAGCTTGTTCTCTACCCATGCAGACGCTTAGTTTATAATTTAGGGCTCTTAGTTTCCCTTAACCTGTGGAAAAACAGATATTGCCGTCTTAGTTCTCATCTTCAACGCAGCCAAATCCAGTCCAACGATGCTGGCGCTGTTCTCAGACCATACCTTTCGGCACTATGTTTACCTGCGTGACAGTCTCTCCCACCTTGTTCCTCCCTTGAGAGTAAGTTAGGCATTGGTGTTGGAGTAACTCTTTGTGGGGAATCTGTGTGACCAGCCCCTTTTCCTCACCCGGAGTTGAGCTTTTCATTCCAGTAGTTCCAGCCTGTCGTACTGCATGTATGTTCAGACAAGTGGAAAAATGCAGCTCCATTTTAGGTTGTTTGCTTGGACTGCTCAAATTACCTGCTCCAGCTTGGGAATGTCCGGGCACCTGGACATGCTCAGGCTGCCAAGGTTTCCTAACCTGAACCCTAACCGGAAGATTGTCAATGCCCCAGCAGCCCTAGGGAATTCCATAGCATGCAGATAGACTTCTGAAGTCCGTCTCTCCCTGCCTGCTGTGTGACTGCTGCGTCTGGTTGCCCACTCGTGTTGATTTCCAGTCCCAGCAGCTGGGCGTGGAGCCCTGTTTTCCTAACCCCAAGCCCCAGCTCAGATTGTCATCCCAATATTTCCATTCCACTCAATTGCATGTAGACTCGGACAAGGGCAAAACTGCAGTTCTCGGGTTGCTTGGACCACTTAACTTGCCTCCCCGTGTCGAGAATTTCCAGGCCCCTGGACCTGCCCAGGAAGCCAAGCTTTTCTAACTTCAAGCCCAAGCAGAAGCTTTTCCTAATACCTGATGGGAGGTGGCTTCTTCTTGATTCTGTCCTGGAGAACAGTTGCCGAAGTGCAGAATCTGTGAGTGGGCTGCAGACAGAAAATGTTTTCTTAAAAAGCACGATGCCAGAAGCATCAGTCTGATGGGTACAATCTGCTGAACTTGACTTTTCATCCCCCTTCTAATTTTCGTCTAGCTGCCTGGGAAGAAGCTGGTATCTTCACCCATGTCTTCCAGTCTTGCACTCCAGGAAGACCCTTCCCAGGAGTTTCTGCAACAGAGCCTCGAAAGAGTTTTCAGTCTTCAGCACCTCGACCCGCAGGCTACTCAGGAGCTCCTTGAGCTTACGATTCGGTGAGCATTTTCTCAAACTGAGGAGGGTGCAATGATCTTTTCCCAGTTTGGAGCGACCAGTGTGATTCTGTGTGCCTTTCTCTTTGCAAGTTCCCTTGGGCCTGAAGTACCACACCTGCTACCCGGGACTTTATTAGCAGTGTGCTTTGGGCCTCAACCTGGGCCCCTAATGTGTTGCACAAACCTTGCGATCTCTACTTTGAGGTCTCACTTTTTGTGGTATGATACATACTAATTCTGGTATAGTGCTGGAAAGGCCTCCTGCTTTTGGAAGAGGCTTCCTGGGGTATTTTGAGATGACAATTGCATTGCTTTATTCACTGAATTTTATGAGTCACAGAGGTGGCTTTGCCTTCTACTTGTAGCCCTCCTGTGTTTCTCAGCACTCCTTCTGGCTTCTGTCTTAACAGCAGCAAATAACCAGTTAATAGCTGCATGGTGCTGTTTGATCGGTCGCACTGGAAGCACCCTGCCCTTTGGTTTGCAGTTTGAGCCCCCCTGTCAAAACATGGATAGGCGGCAGATTCAGCGTACGTTTTATCCTCACTCATAGATGCCTCCCTGTGCCAAGCTAGCGGTTGGAAGCCTTTGCTAGCCAATTAGGGCAGAATATGCTATATTTAATCCCTGGCCCCTGCAAATTGCAGCTTTTAGCGGTTGCCTTCCTCTCAGCTGAGTTGGCCATTTTTTCTGGGTGGCTGTGGCCTCTTGGCCTGAGCACAGCCTTGAATCAAACTCTCACCTGAAAAGATGCAGGTCAGGCTCTCCCAGTCATTCCAGGGGTGGTCGATTTGTGCTACCAGTGAGCAAGCTTTGTGCTGCTGCTCTGTCTTCTTTCCTTGCAGATTTTCCACAGCAAAAGTCAGGAGAACTGCTGGGAAAAGGCAGGTGTGGTACTAGTTGAAGGTGACAATGTCCGGACCCCCACAATAAAATTCTGCCGATGAGGCAGAGCAATGGCACCATACAAGTCTTGTCTGGAAGCTGCCTGGCTTGCAACCCACTTCAGCCTGTGATGCTTTTTTGGGGGTATATCAGCCAGTACTGCTGGAGGGGTATGAACTCACGGAAGCATATTCTCAGAAGATAAGAGGCTGCCCTAGATTGAGTAGGACCTTTGAGTCTGTTTAACCAGCATTATTGACACTGACTGGCAGCAGTTGTCCAGCGAGTCAGACAGGGTTCCTGCAAGATCCCAGTGATGAATGTGGGACCTGTTCCATGCTAAGCATATGCTCCGCCATGCAGTGGCAGCCTGTCCCTCCGCATGTCGTGAGCGGAGCCGGCTGGAGCCGGGGGTCAGACTAGATGGCCCGGGAGACCCCTTCTGACTCGCTCTGTTCCTATGTTTCTATGTGTTTAGCCTTCTCTCAGTATCTAACCATTTCTCTTCTTTCTCCTCACCCCTTTTCTTTGACCAAGGGACCTCCAGAGGTTTGGGGAGCTGCAGTCCGACTTGGCTGGGATGGCTGACTTCTCGGCAGCTTACCTGCGATGCCAGCTGCTTCTCATTAAGGTGTGCCTTCTTCTGGACACCTACCTGGGCCTCATTACTGCATTTTTTATGTCTCTTAGGGAGAGATGCTTCTGCACGTATTTATTCATGCATTTATATGCAACATTTGTTTACCACTCCATATCTAGACAGAATCTGGAATGGTGGGCAAGATAAAAGAATAAAAATACTGCATTTAAAATTTGGTAACATTAAAACTGAGGGCGGACATCCAAGAAAACCTTTCTGAAACAAAAAAGTCTTCAGCCAGAACCAGAACTCTCACAGTGTTGGATCTGGCCTGACATCCAGAGGCAGGGAATTCCACAGGAATGGAGCTATCACAGCAGGCTGCTTTCCTGGTGGACTCCGTTCGGGGCAAAGGCCCATGCAGAGCCACCAGGAGCATCCCATCTGGTGAACCAATACCTGGGCAGGTTGGTGAGGAAGAAGGCGCGCTCTCATGTACGCTGGCCCCAAGGTGTTCAGGGCTTGTACACTAGTGCCGGATATTAAGCCTGACCTGGCAGGGAACAGGCAGCCAGCGGAGTTCCTTCAGCCAGGGAATCGCGTGCTGCAAAGAGGCAGCTCCGGACAACAGCCGAGCCGCTGCCTCCTGCAAGAGCTCCGGCTTCCGCAGCGGCCCTAAGGGCCGCCCGCACTCGGTGCAGCGCAGCAGCCCAGTCCTGAGGTCACCAGCGCCTGCGTCGCTGCGGCCAGGCGGCCTCCGTCCGGGAGCCACTGAGCTGGCAGACCAGCTGGAGATGCTGAAAGGCTTGCCCAGCTCCTGCAGGCACTGGGACTCCAGCAACAGCGGTGCATCAAGGAGCCCCCCCCCCAGAGAATGAGCCTGATTTCTCAGAGAGGGTGCAACCCGTCCGGAAGAGGCAGTCAGCTCGTCTCCCAAGCTCGGGGACTGCCCCCCTCCCCTCAGGGATGCAGGTTCGGTTCACTGGCCCTCATCCAGCCCGTCACTGAGTCCAGGCACGGATCCAGCCCTTGCTCAGCCTCCCCTGTTTCAGTTGTCCCAGCGAGACAGAGCTGCGCATCATCAGTGTGCTGACAGGATGCGGCTCCAAATCCCCCGATGACCGCTCCCAGAAAGTCAGCGCCACTGGGGGCAAAACGGTACCCTGCAGAACCCCATATGCCAATTGCCAGTGGGCCAAAAAATACTCGCCCAATGCTATTCTTTGAACTTGACCCTGCAGGTGAGTCTGTAACCATTGTGACAGTCTGCCTCCAAAGCTAGTCCCTGAAAGTCGGACGGTGAGTGAGTAACGCGCACGTGATTCAAAGCCAGTGAAAACGGAGTGCACGCTTTGTCCTTTGGAGGAGGAAGTCCCCTTCCATTTGCTCAGTGTGAAATTGCCCATTTGTTACTGCCTGATGACAGCACGGGAAGTTTGGGGCTCACAGAAAATAGATTAGCTAACCAGAATTGGGATTCGGTGCATTAGCCAGGAGCTGGCTCAGCAGCTTCTGGAGCTCTGGCTGTTGCTGGCTTTGCAGAAAAAGCTATCTCCCTTCGGCATCTCCCCCTTAATGCTGTAAGCTGGGTACACCATCCATAAAATTTGGTTTTGGAGACGTGTCGGTAAGTCGATGGAGATATTTGTCTGGTCTTGCCACTTCTTTGGGTACCACAGGGCAGAAGTGTCACAGCAGGACAAGCGTTCGTGCATAGCTTCGCCTGATGATGGAATGCCCCATTCACTTCAGCGTTAGGGGATGCGCAGCTAATTTAGTTCGTTTCCCGAAGAGTGTTGCTGGGAATTGGATGCTTATCAAGCCTTCGCCGAACTCCGTGCTTAGCTGAATGTAAAGGAACAGAGTGCTCCTGTACATTGGAAACTCGGAGAATGAGCAAAACGTCTTCCTCTGTTCTGCTGTATTTTGTCTCTTCAGTTATGTCAGTTGCTTTGGAGTAAACCAAAAACAAGATGCAGCAACTAAATCCAAAACTCAATTGAAGCATTAAGTAAAGATGAAGAAATGGCTCTCCTGCCATTGGCCCCAGCCTATTTGGAGTGTTAAAGGGTAGGGTACCTGAGGGGTAGATTTGTCCTGCACATACTTGCTTGGTCCCCAGGACCATTTTCGGAACCCTTCCTGCCTTCTCAGCTGAGGGTGCCAGCTTGGAGGCGGTTGTCTGAAAGCAGGGTTGGCTAACTGCTCGGGGCCCAGGGGCTATCGCTGCCGCACCTAAGGTGCTGTGCAGATTACAGGGTTCCCACTGTTTAAAAGGGGGGTTTCTACCAAACTTCAACAGGAAACCACTCTGAAGTGCTGTTTCATTTGTTTGCAAGCTAAGAGGAAGCTAGCTAAATAGCTGCCAAGGTTGGCAATTTTTGGAGGGGTAATTTAAAACAAATGATTAATTAAAATTGCCTCCCAGCATCAGAAGCAGGGTGACTTTTAAAACCAGCCACTGGGAAACAATAGTGGCAGCAGGTTACTTCTCTTGTGTGCTGCTTGTGGGTTTCTTGGGGGCGTCTAGTGGGTTGCCACAGGCAAATGGGACATGTTGGCCCTTTGCCTGTTCCTGCAGTGCTGCTCTCAATCTTCTGAAGGGGAAGGTAATAATCGAAGCCTTTTCCCTGTGTCCTGAGCCAGAATGCCCTGGATGATAGTGCCTTTTTGATTTGTGCTGAGCTGCTCTCTCTTGCAGGCTCTCCAGGAGAAGCTGTGGAATGTGGCAGTCCCCCTGTACTTGAAGCAGAACGCCCTGGCATTAGCTGCAGCAAAACAGGTAAAGCTGGGGAGGAGGGTGACGAGAGAAGAGCACATCTTGACCTCTGAGAAAACTGTCTGAGCTCTAGTGGGGAGGCGAGTTTACTTTCATCCATTATCAGCTCCTGCTCTGCAGATGACAGGAAAATAAATAACCCTCCAGCCGTTAGAACCACGGAGCCCGGAGCTAACAAGGAGAGACGAAATAGTTATGAAGTCAGCCTGTAAATGAATCCCCCAGGAATTCCAAGATTGGCCCTGAAGAATTTGTCAGTGTCTGTTGGAAGCTGTTGGCTCACCGCCAGTCTGTTACGAGAGATGTCAAGAAAAATGCAATTTAATCTTCCAAATATCAAAAATTTAACGGGTGCTTTTCCTAGGAGATCACCCCCCTCCCCCTTGGTTTGAGAACTATTTAGCAGATTTATTTTGGCAGTACAGGAACTGGGATGAATCTGGGGAAACGGTGCCCAGCAGTGAGAGATGAATGGCTCGCCACAGTCATTTAGCATAAGAATCACCTTACCTATAGGTCCTGCAACAGCACAGAAAACCCACAGAATGTTGAACTGGGCCCAGAATTCAGCTGCTGAGTAGCTTTCATGACAAGTGGCAGCACAGGCTTATGGTAGCGCATCTCACAGTCTATGTGCGCCATGTAGAGAAATCTCAGGAAAGAAATGCAGGTGAACAGTATCCTCAGGGAATGAGGGGGTGTGTTTGGTGGCCAGCTCGGCCTCACTTGCAAAACTAAGATATATTATGTAAGATAATGGAGGGTGGCTGGGCAGGCCACATGGCGTGTTTGCATGATGTACCGAACGGAGCTGCCCTGGGAGTGTCCAGTACTCCCTGCTTCCCTTCCTGCTCAAACAGTTCTTGTGCCTAATCCCTACACAAGATGGGCAGGCGCACATTGAAGAAGGGTCGGCTCCGTCATTAGGCAGAGGAGAGGGCTCAGGTGCCAGGAGGAGGCAGCGAGGAGCAGGGGGAGCTGCGTGCCAGGCAGCGCGCCGTGCAATCCTGCAGCCGCCCCCTGTGGTGCAGGATGCTGCCCCGTCCCCTCAGTTGATTAGCTGCAGGTCTTGCTGGCTTTTGTACATGGACTGGGAGGACCCAGCATCTTGTTCTTCAGCTCACGCAAAAACAATACATTGGGTGGTTGTGAGCTGAAGATCCAGACTGTTAACCGTTCTGTGGCACTGCTCCTTCAGCCCCATGAACTGCAGGCAAACCCAGGGCTTGCACAAATGCATGCGTATAGCAACATCAAAAGAAAGCGAGTCAGAAGGGGCCTCCTGGGCCATCTAGTCTGACCCCCGGCTCCGCTCACGACATGCCCACCATGTGCATGTCCAGTCTATCCTTGAATACCTTCCCCGATGGGGCCTCAACCACCTCCCTCTTTTGGTTCTGCTTATAGCTTCTTAGTTACAGATTGTCAAAAGGGAAGAATTAAAAGGCTTGCTTACTCTTAACTTTCTGCAAGTTATCTTCACCAGGGCAGATGTATGATGCTAATATGGATCTCCTGAGGTTGCTGCATTTTATCAGCATGTTTGAACCTGTCCTACAGACTTTTTTCCAGTAGAAGCCCAGGGGGAAATCTGCCAGGTCTGAGAATGTGGTGCTTCTCTTTGCCTAGATTATGGAAGAAACATACAAGATGGAGTTCATGTACAGCAGCCTAGAACACCGGCAGGTGGTCACCATCCACCACATGAGACTGCAGGCGAAGGCATTGCAACTTATCGTAACGGTGCGGACCACTAAAGGGTGAGGACTTTATGCAAGACTCGGAATGTCTGGCCCTTGCTGAAATACAACATGTGAAAGATAAAGCGGTGTTGTTGGCCAAGGGAGGTGGAAGTTCCAAAAGTACGGGGTATTTGGGGAACTGCTAGCATGATATGCCAGTAAAGTTAAGATTGGCGACTAGCCCAAGGATGGGGGTTGCCCTCCGTTGCAGGCCAGGTGCTGAGGTTGGAAGTACATGCTTTGCCGGAGGCCTGCAAATGAGTTCGTAGCTCCGGTACTGGGGGATTCCTTGTGTGTAGTAAGCTAACTAGCTTCCTTTAGGCTTGAGCTCTGGGTGTGAAGTGTCTGTGCTTTTGTCTGGGAAATTAATTGCAATGTTTAATTAATTGCAGACACTTTTTTCTTAATTCTCTGAGGTCTTTCATGTGGATTTTGAACTGCTGCTTGCTTTATTTTTAACAATATGGGGTTTGGGTGATCTTGTGCTTTTTTTTCATTTTGATTTCTAACAGCTGTTCATAACAGCACAACTTATTAACACAAATTATGTACTATTTAAAACATTGACAATAAATACACAAAGGAAAACAAAATGAAACAGTACAATAATACAAAACAACTCTCACGGTTCATATGTTTGCAATTTAATGCTATGTTTTAAAATCATCTTTCTTAATGTAGTGGTTAAGAGTGTGGGACTGGGACTTGGGCGATCTGGGTTCAAGTCCCTGCTCAACCGTGGAACCAGCTGGGTGCCTTTGGGCCAGTCACGGATTCTTAGCCCAACCTAACTCACAGGGTTGTTGTGAGGTGAAGATTAAGAGGAGGAAGAAAATTATGCCAGGCACCTTGAGTTCCTGGGAAGGAAAAATGGTGGGATACAAATATACAGTAATAAACAAAGTAAAACATTACCTTTTTGGCGATTTATCACTTTCAGTTTTTGAATTCTTGCTGTTGCTTTTAAAACAAGTTGTAAACCAGTTGTACCACTGATCTTATTATTAGTTTTGTTAGATTTGATGACATATGTTACTCCGAGAGCTTCAGTTCTAGGAATAAATGGTTTATAAATGCAATAAATTGACGCAGCATGAATATACATGCATAAATGCCTGCATGCACCCAGACATAACATGGGACTATGTCTTCATTACAGTGTAGAACCTTTCTTTGGAATGTGTGAAAAATTCTTGCAAGAAGTGGACTCTTTCCAGAGGTATGTTTCCTTGCGTTGGGGTTTCCTCAGCCTGGGGAGGTGCGCCCCTTCCTTGTCATCGGATAAGGTGCTGGGCCAGTGTCTGTGCTGTACTGCTTCAGGTGGGGACTCACGTGGCTGAATGGTACTCTAAAGATGAATATTTATTCCTGCACATATAAAACTTGTCCTTGGGTCTGAACCTGATCTTTGATCTGACATGCTAGTGCTGCTCATGTGTGGGTTTTCTTCGTTCAGAGAGGAGCATTCCATCACGCGAGTCCCCACCTGCACATGGAAGTGGTACAGCCCTGATGCCTATTTGCTGCCATCTGTTCTCTCTGTGGGGACTTGCTCTGCTTGGGGAAGGTTTTAAAAGCATAACGGTCCATACCTGGACCTGCCACAGAGAGAGAAAGAACACAAAGGAGGCCCGTTGGTAATTTTGTAAGCATCCTTATCCATGGTATTTTGGTCTCTTATCCATGGAAGTTTTAGGGTTGGAGCCAAGAGCTGCATGAGTGGAACTCCTCTTGCGCAGCACAACCTCCAGTGGTGCAGGAGGATTTCCCTGTCCTTGCCTCCATGTGTGTGTGTCCCCCACCTGCTCCAGAGCCCCGCCCCCATCCTCTCCTAATCCAAATTTGCAGATTTGGGGTGCAACTGAAGGGTTCTAGTGCAAGGGGAAATCCATTCCACCACAATAGAAGTAGGCAAGCCCCTGCCTTCAGTCGCTGACTGTTAGCCATACTGGCTGGGAATGGTGGCAATTTTATTGCAAAATATCTGGTTGGATTGCAGGATATTTGGCGTTAGCAGATGACTAGTCTTAGATCCAACCCTGGACTTTCAGCTTTTTGGAAGGCCTACAAATTCTGTGCTTGCAAGCAATGTGTTCTGCTGTCTTCCGAGAGCTGCTCGATTTTCCTGGGGATGTGGGGAATGTATGACCTGGTATCCCCACTTACTACCCACGCCCCAAGATACATCCCAGAGTACAGCTGAACAGTTGGTGCCGTCTGCCCCCGATCCTGGCTAGTGACTATTAGGGTTCTGCTTCGGGATACATGCCCCTGAGTAGATTGGCTTACAACTGGGTACCCTGGATTGTCTCCCGAGTGGGAAAGGCTGCAGTCCTGTGCACATTTAAGCAGAAAAAAGGCCCACAATTCCCAGCTCTGCTGACTGGGGCATGCTGGGAACGGTGAGCCCTTTTCGGTCTAAACCTGCACCAGCGCATCTACTTGGAGTAAGTGACTTGGCCTGCACTCTCAGCCTCTGCATTTGCTTCCTCCTCCACAGATGCTTCATTGCTGAGCTCCCTCACATGCAGGACAGTTTTCTGGACAAACTGCTTGACCTGATGCCCAGGCTGGTCACCTCCAAATCAACAGAAGTGGTGAAAATCCTTCAGGCCACCCTGCGGCAGAGTACGTTCCTTCGCCTCCCTCTCCCGGAGAAGGTGAATATCCCGCAAATGGGCAATCCTTGAACTAGAAAGCATTCTCTGTGACTTCGTCTCAATTCAGATGCACAACTAAACCATAGGTTGTGCATTGGGCACCTGCTCGCCCTCACCTGGAGTCCATTACTTACTTCCTTGCCTGTAGTAGCTGTGTGTTGTCATTAGGTCCAACTTACCACACAGTTAATGGAACCCTGATTGCTGCAGTGTGGCACACCTTGATTCAGCCAGCCAGCCATGCCTTCTTTCAAAAACACCATTCCTTTGTCCCTAACAGGTGCTCACCTTTTGGTGGCCTCTTGGCATGCTCAATTCTCACAGGTGGCTTTGCAGGGTGCCCCCCGCCCTTGTCTTCCCCACTGCTTAGGTTGATTCCCATGAAGGCTTCAGCAAACCTTGAGATCCCCCAAATGTGCTGATACCCTGCCTCTTCTCTGGCCCCATTCTGTCACTGTAGCTATCGTGACTTCACACAAGCGCTCAGGATTTGTGTACATGACACTTACCTCAGACATGGTTGGCTTCTCATCAACTTTTTGTTATTCTCCCAGGAGATCTTGGTTGTGTTGTGCTTTTTGACAGCTGCTTTTAAAGGGTTTTGTTAAATACACATTGATTTATAGGGATCCACATGCAGTGGTGGGCAGTGCACAGGCTCTTGCTGTCCCACTGTGCTCATAACTGTAATACGACTGTAATATACATGCATATTTAAAGTTAGCATTCACCAGGGCCATTTTGAAGGCTTTTGGACCCCTTTAAGTGGGTTAAAATCTTTTAGTTTTACTCTGAAAACAAGCTAATGCGGTCTCTTTTGGCCTCCATAGCTGTTCCAGCTGTTCATGTCTCAGTTTAATAAACAAATAAGAACAAGAGCTTTGCCCATGCATACTGCTCCTTGGTCCTCCCTTCTTGGGAGAAGCAATCGATTCAGAAAGGCTGAGTTAACCGTGGTTCTATGCTTTACCTGACCTAGAAAACCATGGTTCCTAGGTTTGGAATAAGCTAGTATATTAAACCAACTTCAAACCCAGGTTTAATATCATGGTTTGTTCCAAAATTGGTAACCATCATCCATCCAGTTTGGATGAAAGAGGAAACTGTGTTTAACTGGAGACTTCCTATTTTGATTATTCAGGCTGCAAAGGGAAAAGCGAAGGGGCTGCTCATGTGGGCAAAATGCTTGTTCATCTCTTGGCTAGTTATTAGGGCAGATAAGATCATCCAAACCAAGTCCATTGTATGTTATATTTCTAAATTTTGCCCTGCTTGAAGCGTTCGCGCTTGAAATATTTATTTTATTTATTTAAATTCCTCATTTGCCCCTTAATATCATAAAACCTCTAAATGTCTTACCTAAGAAATTCATAAAAATACAATATAAAAGCCAATATAGAAACAATATAGATTAGAACTACATTTCGGGCACAATGCTAAGCCCCCTGCCATCATCTGGGAGGCCATGGGATTATTCAGCTCTGAGATCCTCCAGCCTTGGCGATCGGACCATGTGCTCCTGCCACACCCCATCACAGCTGGCCCAGAGAGAACTGCCTGGGCTGCCGTCCATCGCTGAGGTTGCAGATCAGCCTTGGGGAGGGAGAAAGGGGGTGCTCTGTGGGGTGAGGAGGCTGGACTGCAGAGTCACGGTAATTCCAGCCTGTGTCCTGCCTCTTCCTCTTGCCAGCTCTTTATCTAGAAACCAGGCAGGCAGGCTGAGGACGGACGTGGTGGTTGCCAGCAAAGGATGCACTTAAGTCTCCACATGTGGAGCCTTGCATGGATCAGCAGCACAGGCCTGCACCCAAAGAGCCCTGCAGAAACAGCAAAACAGAGTGGTGCAGTTCTGCACTGGGGGAAACCTGTCTCAATAGTGTGTCTTTGAGAGGCCCTCCAATTTCACTGTGGTTTTCACCGCTTGGGCCACATCTGAGCGAGCTTTCCAGAGAGTCAGCGTAGCCTGCAACGCACAAAAGCAGTGCGCATTTTCAAGTCCCTAAAAACTGAGTGGGGGAAGGAAAGAAAACACACTGAAAATTATTTGTGTGGGTAGTCAGGTTTTCACAAGGAGGGTGTTGATTTTTCTCTTTCCTTCATCAGATCCACAGAGCAACTGCCACCATTATTGAGCCAAGAGGAGAATCGGACAACCCTCTGCGTTTCACATCAGGCTTAGTTGTTGCTTTGGACATTGATGCAACTCTGGAACATGTGCGGGATCCACAGAGCACCGTTAAAGTTCAGGTGGTGGGATAAGAACGGATTTGTTAACTTCTCACATTTCTCTGCCACTCATCTAGTAGATGACGCGCTCTGAGCAACGAACAAAAATTAAAAACCACGAAATGCAATATGATTAACCATAGTAGAAAAACCTTTTAAAAGTTGAAAACAGTGTAATAAAATTGGTGCGACGGCCGATGGTGATACAAAGATTTGTAACATGGTAACATTTAAAAACAAAAACACCACGAAAGGCCCAGCAAGCCTGAGAGAATAAAACAGTTTCCTGGCACCAAAAAAGATCACAATATTGACACCGGGTGAGCTTCTCTGGGACTTGCGTACCACTGTCAGGGAGCCACAACCGAAGAGACCCTATCCTTAATAGCCACCCACCTTACCTCATTTGGCAGAGTCACCAGAGGTGATAAGAACATATGCATTACTTCACTGGGGAGACCAAAGCTCACCCAGGATTTTCTGCCCAGCGCTGGTCAACCCGATGTCTGTCATTTGCAAGCCACGCATGATGGCAGCAGCCTGATGAAAACAGCATCTCTTTGTCTCTCCTCAGCATCCTGTACTGGGAGATGAGTTGGCTTGCTCAACATGACAACCCGTCACGGCTAACCAGCCATGGCAGGCTGTTGGGTCATCCAAACAAAGACCACTTCCTGCAGGTTGGCTGACTGGGCGGGTGGGGGGAGCCCCACTGAGGACCCGTGGCTTGTTCTGGGTGCCGTTTGAACTACCGTGGATTCTTGTGTCATCCAAAGCCAGCAGAGCACTTGCACTGAGGGTGACAAGGATTGTCTAACATGCCGCTCTGCAAGAGAAGCAAAGACCCCTGCCACCCTTTGTGCTCTCGCCCTCGCCACCCCCAGGTTCCTGCCTTGGTCCATTCCAGCAGAATGAGTACCACCATCGGCCCCACATTGCGGCTGGCCACCCACCAGTGCTGACAAAGTCCCTTTCTCTCTCTCAGGTGCTATATCCTGACGGTCAAGCCCAGGTGATCCATCCAAAGCCAGCCGACTTTAGAAATCCTGGTCCAGGAAGGCACCGATTAATCACTCAGGTTTACCTCTCACACACTGCCTGGACAGGTGAGTGTAATGCTTGGTGTTCGTAGTCTTACACAGTGCACTCTCTAAACAAGATACAGAAGGTCACCTGTATTAACTAAGTCACAGTCCAGAATAGCCCTGCCTTTCATTACAGTACCATGTGGCTCCTTAAGTACTCATCCATGTCACACCAAAAGGAGTTCCCCACAACACAACACAACACAACACAAAGCAGGACACGAACATGTATCATTACAGTGAGGAAGGTGTTGGCTTTGGAACATCTTTTGTTTGACAGGGAAAAGTGTACACAGGGTAGATGTCACTTGAGTAATTTCCACCCCCTTGGGGACTCCATGGGTTCTTTCTGCAGGAGAATAAAGGCGAGGACACCACCAGTCAATGTGCCAAGTAGCCGGAAAAGGCATAAATAGATGGCTTGTTGCTCAGGTGCCAGTCTCCAGACACCTCTGCACATTTAGTGCTGGAGAAAAGTTTCCATTTCTTACAGAGGGTATTAAGTTTGCTGCTGCCAGCTCAGCCGTTGTTAGGTCAACGAGCAATGTGCTTATAAAAAACAAGCAAAGCAGAGCAAAGATAATTTAAACCACTCACATGAAAGGTGTGTGTGTGTGTGTGTGTGTGAGAGAGAGAGAGAGAGATCCTGCAGGGCTACATCTATTCTTCTTAATCCACCAAAAGAATTGTGTTATCTGTGATAACATTTTAAAGTAGCAGATTCCAGAGCAGTGGCAAAGAGCCATGAAGTCTGATGGCCAGAGATGTACGCGCTTACGGTCATGATCATTAGTCTTAGCAGCAGCATCGTTGTGGGGATGGGACTCCTTAGGTCTTCCTCAGAGGGAGGTGGGAATAAGTCCTGATTCAGATGATGAGGAGGTGGAGGAGACTGAAGAGCTGAGAAGGGGAGGCGGGGATTATGGGAGAAGGGAGTAGAAAGCGAGGTGTTCATAAAACCATAAGAACCAGAACCCTTCTGAAGAGGAACTGGGGGATGGGGGATGGGCATGACAGAGCCAGGGGACAGCTGTCAATTATGGCCAGAAAAACAAGGAAGAATTGTAAGCTGTCTGAGTGGTTGGCCTCCAAAACAAAACCGCCTGGAAAGCTGCTGTACCGCCATTGCATGTCCCCATGGGCTAGATGGTCAGCACCCCTTGTTGGCCTTCGTTTTCTGCCTCCTTGGGTTGTGGGGATTTGGCGGTCTACTCGTGGTAAAGTTTGGTTTTGTTTTCTTTTCTCACCCCCCTGCTCACCTGCAGAGCCTTGCCAAGTTGAAGTGCAGCTGTTACTGGCGTACAGTTCGGACAGAAACAAAGCATCCGCGAGGGTTTTGCGGCCCACCTGGGCGGACAGCACGGAGCTCCTCCCGCCGTCCGAGAACGGCATCGAAGGAACCATCCCTTTCAGCAAACCCGTCAAAGTTTACATCATGCCGAAGCTCGGCAGGCGGTGAAGCTGACATTTCATTGCCCGCAGGAGAGCCGAGACACGTTCGTAACCGATGGGGCTTGTGTCCCAGGCGTGATCTCACAGATCTGCCTTCCTCAGCCTGTGCGCTGTAAATGGGCCGGACTGCCAACTCCCCTCATTCCTCCCCAGCCTCCCCTGGCGCCGGCGTCCTCCAGATCTCTTGGCTGGGAACGATGAAATTTGCAGTCTGGCCCATGCTGAGGGTGCCGGGTCGGGGAAGGCTGGTATGAGACCAGAGTGGGGCAAACCCACGGCTCTCCCCTCTCTGAAACTTGGGCTGTTTTCTCCGAGAATGGTGTGATGCTAATGACTAGCACAAGTGGAAATCCTTGGGGCGGAATCAGCTGTCAGGCTGGCGCCTTCCACATGAAGGCTGCTCCGTCGCCTGAGCAGGACCAAGATGCTCCCGGGAAGGGAGCAAAACACGAGCAGCACTCTCCAAATTCTTCTGTTTGCCTGAGGTTGGGAGGGGAAGCCAGCTGGGGCACCAGTGCTGGCAGTCCGTGGGCCCTTTCCTCCAGGTGGTCGGCTGCCAGGTGCCAGATTCTCCAGCCTTCGTGGCCAAAGGGACGCTGCGAAGTTTGGTTTTAAATGTTTGGAGGGCACCCAAGATTGCACTGTGCAGTGGCCAAGCTGCTCCACCCAGGCAGTCATCTCTGTGCTGTTACTTCTGGCCCCAGATCAGACACAACAGCAGAGTGTCCTGTGTGGTCTGGGGCTTGAAGAATTCCTGTTCCCTAGAGGCACCCGAGGTCGCACAACCTGCCCCTTGGCGGACCAAGTGCCTTGCTGGCCCCTTTGGGCGACGGACACAGCGCAAGGGCCGGTGGGGCCGCTTTTTTAGCTTAGTGGATCCCACAAGTTCTGCTGGCCTTGTTTTTGAACTTGATGGGCCGACAGTGGCTGTCGCCACCCCTGGTCCACACAGCTGGAGAGCCGCAATGTTTCCCTCCCTGATTTAGAGTTCTGACATAAAAGGAGCTGGAAATGCATTTCTCTCTATTCTAGCTGGAGTCAAACAGCGCAGCTCTGTCGGAGTTGTGCCTGATGCTTGCTTCGTGTGTGTTTGGTCCCTGTGCACAGCCACATCTGGAGTGTGCCCTCCGTGAGTTTCTTAGGCCCTGAACAAAGACCTGCTGAGAATGACTTCCAGATGCATTGTGGGCAGCAGCTGGGGCTGCCTGGCTGTTTGGGTTGCCCTTGCTGGAAAACGCCTGTCCAGAAAGGGCCTCTTAGCACATCTCCAGAGTGGTGTCTCAGCATCTCTTTGAGGATTCACAGGGGCTCTCCTGAGCAAGGATGTGCATTTTTGTATTTGGGCAGGGCCATCCGCTGCCACCGTTTGCGGACTGGTGGCAGTAGTGACCTTTTATCTGATACAGAACCCAGCATGTCTTGGAGGAAGGGGCGTGTTTTCATTCGGCAAACCTCGGAGAGCTTGCCCACGAAAACACATTTTAAATCGTACATTTTCTGCAATAAAATAGTGGGAGGAAAACACATTTCATTCGTCCCCTGAAATTCACCTTGTGTGTGGAGAGAGAGGAGAGCTGTGGGGTGTTTTCTTGATTGGCGGTGCTCGAGCGGGACCACTCGGCATGACCGAGATTGCAGGCAGAACTTGACACGCTCCAGAGTGGGTGGACCGGGGCTTTGGACAGGGCAATCTGCCATTGTTTTGGAAGGAGGGGGGCAACATGGAGAGAACAGACCTTGACTCCGGGGCGTGAGAGGCCCCCTCCCATCACGCTGCTTGTTGCCTGCTCCTCCCACACACCCTGCCGCATGGAGATAAGCAACATCTGCCGAGGTGCATTAGCTTGGCAGTCACTGGGATGAGCATTCCTGGCTCCGTGCCCGGAAAACGGCTCTGTGTGCTGACAGAGTTTGCCAGGGCAGCTCTGGGCTGTCTGAGGCAGCCACGGCTCGCTCTCATGGGCGGGCGCAATCGATAAAGGAGCAGGAGGAAGAGGGGCTGTTTTCTCTGCACTTCATCCAGGGGGTATTGTGCCCCGCAGTGTGAGAGGAGCCCGTCTTCTGGGGTGAGACTGCAGGCATTCATTGCTTGGATCACCCAAATTCAAACCTGGGCGGTTTCGAGACCCTCAAGTAGCCAGCCTGGGTGAGGGGCCTAATCAGAACACTGCACACCAAGCCCTGCCATTCCTCTGGGCTGACACGGGGCAGGGGGACCGGGGGAGACACCGCCAGGCCCGGCCACCAGCTCCTGTTAGGCCCTTCCTCACCGTTAAGACGGGTGAGCAAGTCAGTCCCAGGGACCAGGCCTGCCTAGCTCTGCGGCAGCCTTCCCCAACCCGGCATCCTCTAGAGTCGCTGGCTCTGGAGTGCTCCTCCTTCCCAGTCTTGCATGCTTGCTGGAAGATGGGTCCTGGAGTCCAGTACCTCTGGAGGGCACCAGGTTGGAGGAGGCTGGTTTGTGGAAGTGCTCCCTTCCCCCTTTGCTTTTGCCAAGTGACATTTTGGGAAGCGGGGAAGTGGGAGGTGGCAGCAGGAATCTGCAGGGGGCGTAAACGGAGGTCATGCTAGGGTGAGCTGGCACAGGAGTGCTCCATTAGGCAAGCCCACAGGGCCACGCTCCTGCAGCAGCCCCAGTTGGGAAAACGCCCCGGACACGCCACAATCTTACTGAAATTAAACGGCTGTTTTGAGCTTTCCTGGGCAGTTTTCCCATCTAGCCTGGTGAGAGCCACTTTCCGTGGGCGCCCACGGGATGCCGTGGCATCACACACAGGTGGGTGCTCTATTTCGGTTTGGAAAGCGTGCAGGGCTCGGCACTGAGCAATTCAGATTCCACGCACCTTGACCGTAAGAGCTCCCTTTTATTCACCCCAAGGCACAAGATGGCCGAAGACTAGTGCTGCCGGGAATGCCCTAGCAGGTGGAATGGAAGACGCCCCCCACACGAGCCCCTTGGGAGGCCAGAGTGTTGTATTCTTTCACCGCCTTCTCCGTCTGCAAGACCAGCACGTCGATGCCATGTTTCTTCAGGTAGTCCACGGTGGAAGCGGGCACCTTAGAAAGGCAGGAAGGGAAAAATGCATGGGAATCTGCCCTAAGGGAGCTTCATTTTTTAATTTTAGAAAGGGTTCGGGGCACAAGCTAGAAGCAGGCCCTGAGCTCCCCTGTGTGGAGGGGGACACTGCTCGGGGGGGGGGTGTCTGTGGCACATGGTAGAAACCCTGGCGGCCCACTGTTGCCCATCAGTGGCAACCAGTGCTCAGTACAGGAAAGTTTTCCACATTTCTAAGCTGCACCACCCGGGAATTTGCTGCAAGCTTTCCGAATGCTGCTGCCAGGAATTAGGAAAAAACTTGCTAGAGAAAAAGGCATTTCGTCCTAGCTGCTTTTGGGTATCCCTGTCCCCCTCCCCACCCCCATGGACGTTTTGGCCAAGAAGCCAAAAAAAGGGATGCGGCTTTGAAACTGAGGAATGAAGTGCCTTCGGCTCCCTCTGCTGGCTGTGCGTGTGTCTGTTACCCTGAAAGATGAGGCGATGGCTCAGAGGAGCCTGGCTGGCTGTGGCTGTCGAGCAGCAGCAGTTGGGAAAGAGCAGGGAAGGCCCTCTTGTGCTAAGTCTCAGCCAGCAAAATGGCCTGAGTGGAGCCAGCAGGCACGTGCCCGTTCAGGAGAGCGGTGTGGTGTGGTGGTGAAGAGCACGGGACTGGGACTCAGGCAAGCTGGGCTCTAGTCCCCGCTCGGCCATGGAGCCCACTGGGTGACTTCGGGCCAGTCACGACCAACCTGCCTCCCAGGGTGGTTGTGAGGAGAAGACTGAGAGCAAGAGAGCTGTGTAAACTGCTTTGGGTTCTTCCTAAGAAAAAGGCAGGATATAAATCAATAAATAACACAGATAAGTATTATTTATTTAAAGCTTTTATATCCTACCCTTCACAGTGTCACAGGCTATTATTATAGGATATTATTGTTAATAATTAAAATACAGGGCACATACCGCACCTGGAAGAAGCCACCACGTACATTGCTGTGCCGAGTTTTAGTCCACTGTGGGGAGAACTAACCCCCAGACCCGGCCTCGGCTCCCGCTAGCCAAGTCAGCACGACCAGTGGCCAGGAATGCTGCGAGGTGCTAGACTGCCTGGGAAAGGCCAGGCTGCCGTTTGACCCTCGCAGCCACGGGGCAGCGCCCCTGGACTCCCCGTCCAGCAAGCTCGGCAAAACGTACCTGCAAGGCCTCACTCATGCCACGTCCGATCACCAATGTTTTGGCACCCTTCTGAACCACTTCCTCGACGTCTGCAGGCTGAACGCCGGGGACGTGCTGTGTTCAGAAGCAGCAGAGGGGAGACCGGTCAGTACCGCCTGCTCTCCCCATGCCAATGAGAACATGCTTGGTAGAAGCCACGGGGTTGGGGAGCGAGGAGCTGACCCTCATTTCTCCTGCAGTCCTGCATCCCAAGGTGGACCACATGAAATTCTGGTGACCTCTCGATCTCCCCGGGAGAAGTCTGCCCTCACAGTTTGGCAGCAGGGCAGCAGAAGGGATCAGAGGGTCTTATTTTCAACAAACTAACTGGGAATTCAACAGTAGTGGCTCACCAGCAAAGAGGAGCCTTTTTTGCTTTAAGAAATGTCCTTTTGCTGCCCTCCTCCCGAATTTCGACACTGAATTTTGGCACTGATGCAGAAGTGTGTCCCCTAGGGCAATCTGGGGAAGGGGGCTGGTCACCAACAGTTGCCCAATTACCTCAGAGTAAGCGGCACTAAAAGTTAAGAAACTTAAGCACATACATGTATAGGAGTGCACTAGTCAACATTGACTTTTATCAACCACTGCAAAGAAGCAACTATAAAAGATGGTGCAGCTGCACCTGCTGTGTCCTCTAGATGTACCAATTTTTATGTATACAGACAGCTGAGCAGGTATATTTCTGAACTATGTAAAAAGAGCTTGGTTTTCTAGATCTTAATTTTCATTTTTAAAGGTTTCTAGTCCTTATGATTCTAAATGAGGCCCAGTGACAGAAGGTATCCTTTCCCTATGGAAGATCCTAGGGTCTTTATCTCCAGACGGAAGGACTACAGGCAGAGAGTGGTACGGACAAGCTACCTGGGATCATGTAGCATCACAGAATAGTAGGAAGGGGCCCTCAGGTCCAACCCCTGCTCCGTGCAGGACTCCCAGTTCAATCATCCCTCTTGGGTGTCTGTCCAGTTGCCTCTTGAATGTAGTGTGGGAGAGCCTCGGTAATTGGTTCCATTGGTGACTTAAAAATCACCAATCCTCTCCCTAAAACGTTTATTTCACGAGTTCTAAACATTACTGCATAGGTGGGAATATGTTATTGTTTTACGAAGAGCAGGAGGAACAGGCAGCGTGCCCACGGCCTTGCATCAATCAAGGGGCGAGCCAAATGTCTGTTCTTTGTCACCTGTAATTGCTGCAGCATCTTGGAAACGAAACAGCTGTTTGCGTCCATGGTTCCTCCTCAGACTGCGGTTCCTCCATCTTCCTGCTATGCATTGATGCTTCTCGCCTACCTCTGCCAGCGTGGGCTGCTAAGGCATTCCTTATGCATTGGTGGGGGCCTGGGAAGTAGGCGGAACGTTTCCTTGAGATGGCAGAAGTACAAAGGGCCACTCGTTTGGGTCTTTATTGCACTTGTTTGGGCCCACACTGGTGGGGAAAACTGGCAGCTGGGAGTGAGGCATCACTGCAGTGGCGGAGAGGAAAGGACGAGCTGGACAAACCAGTTCAGGGTCCCATCCCCCTTGCAGTCAGCTCACCACTGGCAAGTTGGGAGCAGGTGTTGCGGGGGGGGGGGTTTGGTTCAGGTCTACCCTATATCAAAAAGATTTTGACAGGTAGTTTTGGCTTTTTCCCTTAAGGCAAAGCAAAAGCAAAGGCAAAGGCAAAGCAAAGCGGTTTTACCGAGAAGGGGTTAGCCTCCACAGCATCACGAGAAGCCTTTTGTGCTTCCTGGAAGTGGAACCCCCTCTCCTTTCCCCGTTTGCAGAATCCTCGTCTCCAGAGAATTGCTTTTAGGTTGCGCAACCTTCCCCTGCCGATTATCGTAATTACAGTCAATCTGAACCGTTTTTCCCCTTTCAGGGGATCTGTCATGTGAGCTTTGCTAAAAGGCTCCATGGTTTTTAGAAACTGGGGCAGGCAGAGCGGAAGAGAGGAAAAACAGCTCTCCCTTTTTCTGTGCAGGGTCTCTTTATGGCACAGGGACTGTTCATCCCCAGTTGGGTCAAGCCAAGTCAATTTGCCACGTTCACAATAAGCAGCAGTACCACTTAAGCAAGCAGGCCAAAAATGCTAGTTGCCACGCCGGCTACACAACGTCATGCCAACACCTTTGGAATGGATGGCACATCCATGGTGGCTTTATTTACCGCTTGAACAAAAGTGCCCATTTGAATGGAAACTGACTGTTTGAGGCTGCTGGGGGGGGGGAGTTAAAAAGCTATCATGGAAAGTTAAAAATAGTAGCCCCCGCTGGAGGTCTATTTAGAACAGCTGTGTTCCCTGTGCACAGACTTTTTCTCTGTAAAGGCGGGCTGCCTACAGTCCTTTATTATGTAAATCTAGTTACAAATGGCAATTTGGGTTTACAAGGGGAAAGAAAACAAACAAACAGGACAGAATGAAACATCTGCCTCTAGAAGCTGTCATTAGCCAGAAAAAGGTTATTTTGCTCAAAGAGGTACAAGCTCTGCTCCGCTGCAAAGGAAGAGGCTTATAGCCCAATGAAATTGGCTGGGGGTGTCACTTTGGGCTTAGAGGAAATCACCCATCAAGTCTGAAAACAGCGATTCAGAGTCCTGTTCCTTCCAACAGCACCTGAAATGAATGGAAGTCAACCAAGCTCATCAGCCCATCGTTAAACTGTGGGATTTGCTGTCACAAGTCACAAGATGTGGCGATGGCCGCCAACTGGAAGGCTTTAAAAGAGGACTGGACAAACGCCTGGAGAAGGTTATCCACGGCTACCGCTCCTGATGGCCAGGTGGCCTCCCAGGCTTTCAGGGCTCCTAGAGAAAGCTCTGGGGCTCCAGCCCTACCAGGCTGCACCCTAACACTGTCCCTGTCTGGTAACAGGGCCTTTGTCTGCAGCTAATTTTCAGTCGAGATGCATCCTGGAAGAGCCCTAGGAAGCAACAGCTGAAATCAGGAGATCCCAGATAACTGAGAAGGGAGAATGCAGTCACCTACATCAGTTCCGGTCTCCCTCCAGTCCCACGGCCGGCTGCCTCCTGGCCAGACTTTGCAGTCCTTATACGTTGTGGAACAGCCTTTCACTGTCATCCGGCCCCATGAGAGGGACGCAATTTCGGGAGAAGACATCGTTGGATGGGAACCAAATGCCTGCAGGATCAAAGAGCAGAACAATTTGTGTTCTCTTATATCTATTTGTGATTTTGATACAGCACTTTTCAGAACCAACCAAAGGGGTTTAACAAAAACCTTGAGACAGTACGACAGACAAAAATGTAAACCCTAAACAGGCAACCTTTACAAAGTAATCCTTTAAAAAGAAAAATCATAAAGATGCATCTTGATTCCCAGCAGGATCACCCTCACCAGCATTTCTTTGTCAAGTCTTTATTACTGCATTCAAGTCTCTGAGCATGCACAAAGTGAAGAAATGTTGAACCCTTTCTGACATTCTTTACCCAAAGCTTTCTTTGTGAACCCTTCTGTCTGTCTCTCTCTCTCTGGGGGAAGAAGCACTGTGAAAATCGCCACATCTTTGATCCTTCTCCCATGTCCCTAATTGGGCCACCCTGCAATGGCGGCATCTGACTACTGGGGCTACCTCATCGGGGTGGGAGTTCCCCATCCAAAGCACCACCCATTTCCAAGACTCCTCCCTCCGGATCCTGTAGCTCCTCCCCGTTCCCACAGCCAGGTTGACTGGACCCTTCATCTGCCCTTGAGCTAATCTCTCCCATTGCTAAACCCTGAGGAGTCTCAGGACTTTGTCGGAGTCTGATAGTCCCACCAGGACAGGTAGCCTTCCATGAGCAGGTCTCATAATTGGAATCTGAACTGTCAGTTCTGCCAAATGGGAAGTTTCCCATGCACGCACCTGAGCTTTGACAGGACATGCGAGCACAAGAGTTAATTATTTTATGTCCATCTTCCTCCTTGTTTTTCCTAAAAAGCAGCCATTTTAGCAATTGTGCTATCAGCAGCCAAAGCAAAAACCTACAGTGGTGGTTTTGGTGATGCTATCCAATCACTGGCTGAGTTTTGCTGACCCAGCGGGTAGAAGAGATCAAAGCAGAGGTTTAGGAAGCGGGACTGGTTTTGTCAATGGTACTTCTATACCACTGTTCAGCAAAAACATTCTCAAAGCGCTTTATAAAAATCCATGAAAATTAGCTCGGATAATTCGAAAAGAAGAGAGCAAAGCAGCAGGGACCTTCCACAAGTAAAATCAACTGCTTCTTCCCAATTTCTAAGATCTTTGTCCAAGTGCCAACTGCAGGGGAAGCTGGGAAGGCAGCAGCAAGGAGCATGGCCTTCTCAGTGGTGGTCCCCAAATGTAGAATGATCTCCCCACTGAGGCCTTGCCTATCACCAGCCTTGTCATCCTTTCAGCATCAAGAAAGCCCTCAATGCTGAGATCTCTAAAGACATCCAAGGATAGTTAATGACTGGAAAAGAGTATCCATCCCAGGTGTTTTACAGCTCTACTTTGCACCATGTATTATTTTAACTGTTTTTAAACTGTTCATTTTTTAAATCTTGGAAATCAGTACAGTGCTTTATTGTACTGTCTTGTGATACAAACTGCCCAGAGAGCTTCAGTTGTTGGGCAGAAGGAAACAAATGCCCTCATCTGCTTCCAGACATGCATGACCTTCCAGGAAAGCGATTTGACACGGACTGATTGAGTGGACAAGCTCGCTGTGGGTTGTTGTGTCATGTGAACCTGGTCCAGTTCCCACAAGCTGGTTTGCTTGAGGGCAACAAGTCACCTTGACAATCCATAGGTTACTCTAGGGGTTGTTGTACCCATGATGCATTGTCGTGCCATCCAAATGGGCAACCAATCTCACTGTGGACACCAGAAACTGGCCAGGGACTCCCTTGGCAGCTCTAGCCAGGTTTGCCCAGCCACCCCACGAATGCCCTTGGGGGTGACTAGCACTAACTGGCTGTCCTCCATTTTGGCTCCCTGCAGCTTTATTTTGGCACTCTGAAGGACCGGCCGCCGCTGTGTGGACAGGATTGCGAGAGCTGTTAAGGCAGCTTTCTCAACCTCTGGGGAATAAAAATTAAAGGGAGGAAAAAGTTGCAGCAAGCTTACTGTGAAGGCGGGCTGTTGCTATGTGTCAGTGTGCCCAAGACTGCAGCCCTCCAAGGTTTCAGGCAGCTTTTCCCCCAGCATTACCTGGAGATACCAGGAATTGCGCTTGGGACCTTGGATATGAACAGCACGTGCCCCATGGCTGAGCTGCAGAGCACCCACAGCAAATGTGCTTCCCCAGAGCATACAAGCTCGACCAGGGCCGGTCTGTCTGGCAGAGCTCAAAGCCCCAAGCTGACCCGGGGGAAGGCACTGCGACAGAAACTTGGGGCACAGACCACATAGGGTCAGAACTGACCCTTACGTCAGGCCTTGAAACAGACTAGCAACCAGTGTGGCTGATCCTGAACTGGAGCGATATACTCCTACAGACCGAGGAACACAAAGCAGTAACTCTTGCCAGGTTCCAGAAAAGAAACCTTAAGAACAGGCCAAACCCTTGCAGGCTAATTCCTCCAACTACAATCTTTCCTTGTAAGCTGGTGTGCCGTCTTCAAAGCAAGTCCTGGCCGAGATTTCAATGGAACCAACTTCCACTGAATGTTAGCAGCGGCTTTAGGATCACCAATTGTTCTTCTCAGCTCCTGAGCCCAAAGAAGCGGTTTCCTTTCAACAGAGAGCTGCGAGAGACTGCTGTTCCTTTTCACTCACAAGAATTCAGCTGCCCTGATCGCCCACTGCACTGCTTTGCTTTGCCTATACCTGGAGTTTCAATCTGACAGGCATATTGCAAACCCCTACAGTTCTTTAAATTGTTCACATTTTCCAACCAATCCTTTGCAAGGAGATGGCTGTTACCATTGAAACATAAAACACCACTCGTCTCTCACTATATATATAAAAGCAATCTCTGGATTAAGAGGTTTTCCTGTCCTGCTGGAGAGCTGCAAGCAACACCCGCTGACACCGACACAAAGGATCAAATAACACAGACAGACCTTTCAACCTTATTCCCAAGGAAGGCACCGGCGCAGTCTGGTCGACAGGAGATACTCGTCCCTGACTTGCCAAGAGTGGACTTTAATCTCCTGCAAAATGTCAAACCGAGCTCAACCACTATCACAGCTCCAAATGTGTCCAAGATCATCTGCCTTCACAGTGTGAGAAAAGTGGATCTTTATTCTCACCTGCAAAATTAATGAGCCAGAACCATTGATGACTCCATCAGGGGTGCTGCTTAATAAAGCTTGGCTAATTCCCTGGACACAAAAGCACTGAACAGAATTATTTAAAAAGCCGTGCCTTGCAGCCGGAGAGCAGAGACACCAGCCAGTGCTGTGGCTATGTGCTTCTTTTACTCACAGGAGCATGTCGGTTGGCCCAGGGACTCCTCTAGATCGAGGGTGCTGAAGCCTTCGACCTCTGGAGCTGGATTCCGGCTTGGAGAAGCTCCCTGGGGCTGCATTTGGGGTAAAGGCAGCAGTCCCCCAAAGACTAGCTTATTTTAGTCTAAAATTTACTGCCATTTTCTAGAGTCTTTTAGATGGGATTAAAAAGCTGTGCAAAATCCTACTGTCCAGGAAACTCTCAAGGGTTGGAATGGACTCCTGGACTCAGGCTCTGCCCTTGCTGCCCAGAACCAGGCACAATGTTCTGGACACTGTAGAAATGAGATGAGCTTGGGAAAGCTGCTGTGGTGTCCATGAACTTCAGTTATGCAGCAGCCAAGGACATTTCATGACTGAGGGTGCCGGCAAAGCCTAGGGCAGCTTGTGGCATAGTGGAGGAGGTGAGAAGAGGGCTTGGCGTATAGGATCACAGAACTGGCAGAGTGTGCTTGGAATCCTTAACATGAACCATACTTGCCTTTACGTCTTTGGCTGCCGGACTGACAGCATTCCTGATGGACAGCTTTGCTTAACTAAAAGAAGGTTCTGTGTTTGGGTTTGTTTGTTCTTTTTTTGTTTTGCAGCAAAGTTAAAATTCAACAGGGTGATGAAGCTGGTGTTTATTGCTCAAGGAATCAGTATGCTTGATATTCAAGAAGGGCAGTATATCAAGCTCAGTGTACTTGCGGCAATCATGGGAGTTGCCGTATCTGAGGAAATGGTGGTGCCCTGAAACCTTTATAGACAACTAGTCGTTCAAGAAGTAATGGCCCCTGAAGTTGTGAAAAAGGGAAACGCTCTCAATGCAATCAGAAAATGGGGAATGGAACAGTGAAAGGAGAATGCACCAGAAAAGAACTAGTTTAGGGATTCATTTTTGGTTCATGTTGAAAAAGCATTGTGGGTACTCTCACAAATTGGCTGCCACAGGGTTGGGACCATGCATGTTCATAAAATGGCTGCTATGGGAGGCGTAGCCAGTCACAAATAGCTAATTTAAGAACATAAGAAAAGCCCTGTTGGATCAGAACCAAGGACCGTCCAGTCCAGCCCTCCATACAGATGGTGGCAAAACCAGCTGCTCACAGGATCCCTCCAGCAGGACGGGTGCAAGACCTCAACCTGCTCAAGCTCTCCAGCAACTGGTTTGTGTAGGCACGGTGCCTCCAGTAAAGGAGGGAGCACACAGCCAGCAATTTCCTAGAAAGCAAGCTGGGGAAACAAAAGGAAAAGTGAATTGCCACCCCCCCCCCCCAAATATTAGGCAAAGAATTCTTTATTTATTTATTTAGTAAACTTCTATGCCGCCCCATTCGCTGAAGCCTGGGGGCGGCTTACAATTAGAACCCAAATAAAGATAGTACTGGGGTGGGGGGGGGTCTCTTTCCTTTGCAGCAGGCCACCCTCCCAGTTAATATGTCCCTAGAATAGTAATAAAAACATCTTAAGAAAATAAAAATCAGCACTGTTGCCAGGGGAATGCTGGGAGTTGTAGAACATTTTTCTGTCTAAATATGCATAAGATTGTTCCTTTAATATTATTAAGGGACAGCATCACCTGTAAGCACAGCCCTCCTGAACTTAAGACCCTCTAGATCCATTAGCCTTACACTCCCATCATCCCCCAGCAAAAATGGTCAGTGGGATGACAATCATTGGTATAATCAAACACATTAACTCAGTTCACATTACCCTCCCCCCCATACTCTATATATGCCATAAGCATGGTAGTATGATATGCTGGGGCATTTTCTACAGAGCCTAATGCAGATAGGATTTAAGGCACAATCCTACACACGTTGGGATAGAAACCAGGCCTGCAACTCCCAGCATGCTCCAGGGGTAAGCATGCGCCAAGGGGCATGCTGGGAAATTGCAGGCCTGGTTTTCCATCCAGACTTGCATAGAATTGCGCTTTTGGGGCACTGCCAGGGATTTCATTAAAAACATTCTGTTTCTCTCTGAAGCCTCAAAAGATTGACAGGAAGGAGCCACCTTTGCACAGAATCACTCTCAGTTCAGCCCTAGCGACGGCGCCACACACCCCCCAGCGCCCACCCGCCAAGCCCCGCTCCGCTCAGCTCCGCTCCGCTCCGTCCAGCCTTACCTGTCCCGAGAGCTGACAACAACCTTTCCCAACCCACTAACAACTTTGGCAGGGCAAGCCCTCTCTGGCCTATCATTGGCCCCAGTCGAGAGACAGACACGCTCTGCGCCCACTAAGAGGCGCCCGTTCCGCACTCCCCCCTCCCTTCGTCCCCGCCCCCTTTCGGAGGACTGACAGCCGCTTTGCTCCTCCCTTTTATTATTATTATTATGACACACCTTTCCCAGCCTCCTTCGTGATTGGCTAAGGCAGCGCTCTATCCCCGCCCCTCGCCTCGGCTTCTTTTTCTCCAACTCCTCTCTCCCCGACACAGCCTCGTTTTGGTTCCTGTGTCAATCAGCCCAAAGGAAAGCAGCGAGAGGAAGCTCCTAGAACGTGCTGCCGGGGCCACTCTCCCCGCTCTTGCTCTCGCTTCTCTTCGAGCGTTCTCTTCTGCCCTCGCGGTGCATGCCGGGATAGCGCGGCCGGGCGACGCGCTCCAGCCACAGCGCCCCCTGTCTTCCTCTCAGGTACTGACCGTCCTCCCTCCCCGCTCCGCTTCCCTTCTCCTTCTCCATCCATCCTCTCAGTTTCCAAGATGGCGGCTGCGGCAGCGGCTCCCCCATCCCCTCCTCCCCCTGCCGCCCCGCCGTCGGGGGGCCCGTCCTGCCCCGGTTCGTGGCCCAACTTCGCCGTCGTCTGCTCCTTCCTGGAGAGATACGGCGCCCTCCTCGACCTGCCCGAGCTGCCCTTCCCGGAGCTGGAGCGAGTCTTGCAGCCGCCGCAGGAGCCCGGCGACCAGGGTAAGCGCGGCCGCCGGCCGGCTGCGGACGGGCCTCCGCACATCAGCTCGCCTGAGAGGCGGCAGCGCAAAGGGAAGGCGGGCGGGGGGGGCATTTAAACGGCCTAGGAAGTCCTTTGCTCCCCCCGCCCCGCCGAAACGCACACAACAGGGCCCTCCCCGAGTGTCACCTCAGCTTCTCCCCCCCCCACTTCCCTCTCGGACTACTTTGTGGGGGCTCGACCCCCATTCTTTGAAGGAGGCGGGGCTCTGCAGGGGTGTCCATTCCTCCTCCCCCCTTCTTGGGGGCAGGCCCCTCCCACCCATAGTGGGCACCCCCTCCCGCATGGAGGGGGGAACTTCCTCGTTTGGAGTGGGTAATTGGGGAGGATGAACAGAAAGAAGAGCGAGTGAGGCGTGTGCTCCCCCGCCCCGTGTCCAGTTTGCATTGGGGCTGCTGCTCATTCCTGCTTTGCTCTGTTTTTCTCAAAGGTGCGAGAAGGGGGTGCGCCTGGTTTGATTTGAATTGTGCTGTATGGGGAGGGGGTGCCGTATTCGGAGTGACCTGAGCGGAAGGGGGCTCCCTGCCCCGAGGAGCTGACAGCTGAATTCAGGTAGAGGGAGGAAAGAGCGAGTTGACGGGGTAATAAGGGAGCTTCATGTAAATCAGGTATGCGTGGGCCTTGCTACCATTGGGTAAGAGGATGAATGACTAATTTCCCTTGGGATCTTTGGAAGATCTTTTTGGGGATCTTGCCAGTTCCATCCTGATCCTATATCATTCGATATCATGGTCCCTCTTTCTTATGGCAATATATAAAGTAGAAAAAGGGGTACAGCTTTCCTCCAAAGCAGAGAAATCTTTGTTTTGAGATGTACAGGGTTGCAAGTTTTTCCTGGTTAATCTCTCTTGTGATGTTCTCCATGACCGCCTTTGTGCTGGGGAGAGGCTCCTATTGCCATTGAGAGCCCCTTCCAACCCTTTCTCACCTGTGCAGGGCTGGCTGCTCACCTTCGACTTTGGTTCCTGAGGTGTTGCTCTTTTTCCTTCCCTGTTTGTGGGAGCACGACTATCATTGTTTTATTTCTTGCCTGTCCCACAGGGGCAAAAAATGTAGGAAGGCCTTATGTCTTTATCCCTTTCCTCTTTGCAGTTCTGGAATATGTTGACATTTACTTGCATTTGTGAAATTCACAGGCAATTAAGAAAGGAATGGGAAAGAAAAGTGTGTGATTTTCTGTTTGCTTGAATACTGCTTGGTTCATGTTTGTTTGAGAAATGGGAACAAGACTGGTGAAGATGGATGAGGGCTGAGGGTGTTTGGTGAGATCAGGTAGCCTCCATCAGCCTTCTCCAACCTGGTATCTTCCTGATGCTGCATCCTCCAGATGTATTGAAATAAAAAAAGATGATTTAGACTTCAACTGCCATCAACCCCAGCTAGCAAATTCAGTAGTCAAGTAATAGGAGTTGTAATTCACAATATCTGGAGTGCACCAGGCTGCGGAAAGCTGGTTTCCATGTTATTTCTTTAAAACTAGATGGGGCAAAAGACAGGTCCATCAGTGATCTACTGAGCAATTTCTGGGAGACCACCCAGTGCCTCCTGGGTGCTGGGATGCTTGCAAGTCATGTGATCTAGGTGGATCCTGGTCTTATCCAGCAAGGTGCTTCTTATGTTCTTGGTAAGACAGCATACACAGGAGTCCTCAACAAAGATTAGCTATGCCTTCAGTGTTACGAGATCCTGAATAAATCTGAGTAAACTTGAGTACATTTTGAAGACAGTTGTGATCATGGTGATTTAAAGAAAGTGTAAAAAGTAGACCATGTCAAACAGAATTCAGCCTATTGGTGCCACTTGGTTGCCCTAGTTCATGTGCCATCTTTAGATTTATAAGCTGCAAAAAGAGTTTAGCTTACTGATGCCTTCAGGCTTGATCTCCCCAACCCACATGCCATCTCTAGATCTCTACAGCTGCATGAATATTTGGCGTTGATCTGTTTTTCTTCTTTGCTCCTTATTGCTTAATGTGCATGAATGATTCCTTTTGAGCTAGCCTGGGTTAGAGGTGGGGTGGGCAGAGAAATCTGTTGCTTTGTATTTTTAGTAGAGTGTATGTGTTTTCATGGGTGTGCATGCTTCTGTTTACTGCCAAGTTACAGAGATGGCAGCAGCTCAGGCAGATGACCATGCAGCCCCATATAAATTTCCAGTATGTAGAGATACGTAGAACTCGGTCTTGCCTGTAGCATACAGAACAGCGCTGAAACTTCCTTTGACTGGTTCTAGGGACCAGCCAGACTTGGAGCATTTTCCTGGGAAGATCTTTGCGGAGTGAGAAGGCATGTTTTTATTTTAGAATCAAATATTGTCTTGAAACTCTCGTTGAGCTTCTCAGCTTTATTTTCTCAAACGGAGTCCTGTTTTTAAGTGTCTTTGCCTTTGTTGTTATTGAAGGGCATGCCTCCCCCCACTCTGCTCAGGTAACAAAATTTAACTGCCCTCAAAGTGATACCAACCCCTCCAAATTACAGGCCTTGTTATAGGATAGACGACTGTTGTTGGCAGTTGAGACATTGCTGGTGCATTTAATGAGACTGAAAATTATCTGTGGATGGCTTCTTTGTTGATAGTGCTTTTAGAATGAGCAATCAAAATAATTCAAATCTTAAAGCATCTCTTTAACTGTCTTAATAAATTGCCTGGCACGCAACTGTAATTTCCAATAATGTTGTGAATAGCTTTGCATCGCTTCCAGATTCTTCATTACCAGTTAGTTCTTTGCAAGATATCAGGGGAATGTATATTCTTGATTAGATATGCTTTTAATACATATTTGTAAAGTGAGTAGTTAAAGCGTTCATTGGAATATGCAGTTTTGTGTTAAGTGTACAGCATTTTCATTATTCATATGAAACTTTCTTTTGTGAATTACCCAGTTGTTGCTGCTGTTGTTGCCCCCATTTGTACTTGGTTGTGGAGACAAAAGTGTTGTGGATATTCCATGCTGGTTTGTCAGGTGGCGGCAAAGAATGTCTTTGCTATCCAATTGCCTAGGGAATCCTGGGAACTGTAGTTCCATGAAGGACACCAGGGATATCTAGATCAGTTACTTCCTTCTCCAAACTACAATTTCCAAGATACTTTGACTGAAGTCTTGA